TTTTATATGTTCGGAATGCAACCTACTCATCCATAAGGATCAATCACTCCATAATTTTGTATAGATATTGAGAATATATATAATAATAAAACAATCTGTAAAATTTTTGTTGAATTCCTAATATTTTAAAGATAGATACTAAACACTTAATATGGACGCGATAAGAAGTTCCGCTCGCAAATTGATTCGTAATTTTTCGTCGCGTATCGTTTTCTCGAAGATCTCCATTTTATATCGAATCCGTGAAAATCGGGTCAACGCAATCCTCATGCAACTGTTTGCGAGTGACAAACGCGTGAAAATGACAACGGGACCCAACGAGCGGAATTGGAATACTTATGGCCGACACAGGTGAAACGAAGAAAAATATAAGAGAGAGAGAGAGAGGAAGAGATTCATGATCGCACGTCGGCTTAAAATTGATTGGTGAACGGAAGGCGAACAGATAGATAGATAAATAAATACAAGGAGAGAAATATATATATAATAAAAGAAAGGAGGAGAGAGAGAGAGAGAGAGAGAGAAAGGATCTTCTTTTTACAATACAAATATACATTGTACATATACATCGTCTTTGCGCGCGTGGCTTTTTTGCTGTTTAAAACGCGAATTGATCTTCTCTTCGATCGAGTTCACTTCCGCCGGATGACGCCGGATACATACGAGTATGTAGAGGAAAAGGTGGTATTATGGCACCTAATTTACATTTTATATAATAACTTGATTAATAATTAATATTTAAACCAATTTAAATATTAATTATTATTTAAATTTAAAACTTAGGTAATTACATTTGTCAAAGTGTTTTTTAATTGACTCAAAGTTAAAAAAAACTTTATTACTTAGACATTCACTAAAAAAATAGAAGTGGTAATGTGGTCTCTTCTAAAAAAATTAGTATATTTAAAAAATAGTACTTGGTTAAAAAATTAACAAAAAATTGAATATTTAAATATAGAAATGCATATACGTACATAACTTCTTCCACATCTATACTAAAAATCAAGTGGAAAGAGAGAAACGCCGACAGCAATCAGCACACTTATAGAGCGTCACAATGCAGAATGCTATTGTTTAAATTTGCATACCCCTCGAAATGTATACACAGTATAGTCCAATAAAATATCCAATTCACAACTCGTGATATTACTGCGGTAATTTAGTAGTGTTGCGTTTCAAGTCTGAAAAAATTCGGCGCGCAATTAAAAATCTACAAATGTAGTTATAAATTCACACGCAATTATATATTATAGAAGCACCCAAGATCCAGCTTGACCGTTACGGCATGTTCTCATCAGTATTCACAGTCAAATAAAATGTTAAATAATGAACAAATATACATATACTTATGTATAATAATAATACGCTCAAATTTAAGAATAATGAGGAAATATACTATATGTCTATATGTATGTAATTAAATGCTAAAATGTACCTTAAAAATATTTTAGAATGCTTTAAAATAAAAATGCGTTGTAATAAATACTGATTATTGTGTATTGGTATATTAGCATCACGGTATAACAGCGAGTTATTGAACAAATAATTCCATGAATAATCATTAGAATGTCACCTAATAGAGAGAGCGGAGGTATTAAGAGGGTCATATCTACAGTTACCATAATACCACCTTTTTCTCTACGCAAGCGTTAATGCTGCAACGTACATTAATAAGTTGATAAATAAAAAGAAAAGAAATTTTAAGCATGTGCGGCACATAAAAAAATGTAAGCAGTAAGTGAGTCCGCACACATTTTCCATAACAGTAAGACGTACATACATAAGAATTAGCAAATCACAGTTGAAAGTTTTTGAAAATTCTTGACTTTAATTGGCTAATTCTTACGGTACGTTTTACTGTTGAGGAAAGTATTTGCGAGCACCTTATAACCAAATCAACTTTTTTATTTGCTACTGCTTGTGTTATTGCCTTAGTTCCTCACTATGATTGTTTCATTAGCTCACATGTGTCATTAGCTTAATAGCACCAGGCAAGGAATCAGCAGATATATTTTAAATTATGGATTTACTTGCATCACTACTGTTTCATCATCTTGATTCTTTGCTATTTTTTCTATAAAATGCACATATAATTATTAGTTATTTGAAAAATCAGCTTTACGATTGAACTCTTTTGGTTAAACGACAACATTTATGCGGAGAAATTATACGTGACATTCAAAATTGCTATTAAAAATCGAGTCAGATTTTAGTTTTTGACATACATACATATATTATTGTAATAAATGAGATATATATTTTATGTATGAACGTGTTAAAATGATTGTATCAGTTAAAAAATGAATTGTAAATGAGAGTCGGAAGAAAATTTGAGAAATTCGTGATATGTTGACGAAATCTCGCGGTCGGTTCTGGCGAAAGATTGGAATATCCGCGCGCGAGTGGATTTATTGGAATTCGAGAGATTCGGAGAGGATCTCAGAATCGTTGGAATAATTGACGCCAGCCGTCGCAGCATCACCTGGAAAAGTATCAAAATGCAAAAAGGATTCGACATCACGTAATGCGAGCCTTATGACTGCTATAAATCTTTTGGAACGAAAATTGGCATCGATAACAGTGCACAAAGCTCTGATCTGCTCGTAAAAATCATGAATCAAATATCTATTTCGCGCAAAACAAACACTTTGCCGTCGAAAAAATTATGTATCATCGTTATAATCGCAACGGCATTAATTTCGAGAAAATTTAGACTTTTTTTTATGGAGACATCGCGACTATTTCCGATCATTAAAATTCCCTTTGCTATTTACAATTAATTCAAAATGAGATAGAAATTGATATGATATTAATTAATAATATGATTGAAATCGATATTTATTTATTCCATCAAATTTGGATCATTTGCATTATTTAATAATGAATAATTCCGCTTTTATTTTTCCTCAAAAAATAATTTTGCAAAAATGTAGAATTCTTTTCGGTGATCACATTTATTTAAAAATAATAAAACGTATTATATATTAATAATACGTTAAACGATCGTTGCAGTTTTCGAAAAACTGCATATCTTCGAGCAACACATAAGCGAATACCGTAGCTTATCGCGCGTCTTATCGACATGGACATATTTGAATATACCGCGAACGCGAGCGCAAAAACGATCGTAAGTTTTCACGATAGCCCACAATTACCTACCCATAATTCACGAGCCGACATCTTTCGTGTTCTTTGCGTGCGCCTTATTCGGATCCGTTCGGCGTTGTACCTTTGTAATAAATTTACAAATTCGGTATCGCGACTATAATCAGCGTGCAATTATACTCAACGAATTTGTATATTCCTTAACTACCCATACATATATATGTTGAAATTATGATGTTTTTCAACTTTTCATGCATTACACGATGCATTAATAATTATCTTTACTGCCTGGAAAAAAGTAAAAAAATTTTTAGAAATATAAATATACATATAAGGTGACGTGTAAAAACTGAAAATTTGTAGTTTATACAAGTCAAAGCGTTGGTTACAAAATTATTTATCCACGTAACATGCGTACAATGGTATTAGTATTAAATACTAAACGAAACATTGCCGCTGTACACTATCATACGAACAGATAATTTTTTAATCAACGTTTATGATTAGTCAAACTTAAAACATTTAAAAAAAACTATTTTACGGAAAAAATGATTTACACTTTTATTATTTAATTTTTCACGAAGTATCGAATTGAGAAAGACAGTGATTTCAATTTTGCACGAACAATTGGGTATGAAAAAGCTATCGGCACGATGGGCGCCGCGTTTGCTCACTGTGGATCATAAGCGCGAGCGTGTAACGATTTCAAAACAATATTTGGAGATGTTTCAACGTAATCCAGATGAATTTCTGCGTCGAGTCATTACTGTGGACGAAACATGGATCCATTATTTCACACCCGAGACGAAGGAACAGTCAAAACAATGGAAACTTCACCGGGTGAACCAGCTCCGAAGAGGAGCGTGAAGTCGGTCGGAAAGGTGATGGCCACAGTTTTTTGGGATGCATGCGGTTATAATATAATTCATATCGATTACCTTCCGTCGAAGCAAACGAATGGCGATTATTACGCAGCCTTATTGGACCGTTTCAACAACATTCTAAAGAAAAAACGTTTCCATTTGGCAAAGAAGAAAGTACTCTTTCATTAAAACAATGCACACTCGTGCTTAGCACCAAATGGCCAAATTCAACAAATTCCGCTACAAATTGTTTCCCTATTCAGCAGATTTAGCCCCCTGCGACTATTTCCTGTTTCCAAACCTGAAGAAATGGTTCGGAGGATAGAGATTCACCACCAGAGAGCAGCTGATCGCCGAAATAGAGGCTTATTTTGAAGGGTTGGACAAATCATATTATTCGGACGGCTTGAAAAAGTTGGAGAATCGTTCGATCAAGTGTATCGAGCTGAAAGGAGACTTGTTGATGTTGAGAAATAAAAATAAATCGATCAAAAGGATACGTTTTACTATGTTTTTCTAAAAACTTATTGACTTGCCCTCGTGCAAACTTGAACGTTTCGGTTTTCGGTGAAGTGATCATTTCGTTAACTGCTAATGATGGTTTGAAGAAAACTGAAACGTTCAAGTTTGTTTCATACTTTTATATAGATGTAAAAATTTCTAAAATATAATTAAATTCAAATTGCGCTTCAATTATCGCACCGTTTTATTTGCTCTCATAATCTGTGTGTATATTAAATTAATTTTAATTATGATTTGTTTCAAGAGAGAACAATAAAGTATTTTATATAATTTATTACTAAGTTACAGCTTATATTATATTTAATTTCGATCGTTATTCTGAATATACTGGATCAATTTATATTTATATATAATTAATTATATGTTTATAATATAATATTTACTTTGGCCAGAACGATAATTTTTGTTAGCGAGACTACGACAGGAATTATGTAAATAGAAACAAAAGTACGTTGACATAAGATCTGATAACGTTTCTACGATCGACCAACCATCCCTCTTTCATTGCAGTGCAAAAACTGAAGGGTCTGGGGCGCACGAAGGCGAGAAGAAATGAGGTGGACGTGACACAATGACATGATGAAGAGCCTGGTGGGGATCATGTGGATAGTGTTGGTGCTCATATCAGGTATGTATGATCAATGTATAAATCGCATGCCTGGGACTCATATTAATCTGCCGATACTGATCGACGAAAAATTTCATCTTGTCACTTCCAATATCCCAATTCGTCTTTTATCTCCACATATAGAGCACGATTGTCTTTATTTTCCTCTTAAAATATGAATTAGTAGGACAAGCAATTTTTAACTCGGTTATTTTTAATGTAATGAATAATTGGATAAATGTAATGAATTCGCATATTGAGTTCTATAATTTATAAATTGCAAATTTGAATTCCAAATTACATACTAGTTTCAATTTTTATTGAAATGAGGAATTTAAATGGATAATTTCATCTGGTTTTTTTAATCGGATGGTTATAGTTTTTGAAGATATCGTAATAACAAAATTAATATCTACATTATTTATGGAGAAATTGAAGCAATCAATTTTTAATTGTGTCTACTTATATTTATACTACTGTAATAAATAATTAATTTTAAAATATCACATGCACTTTTCTTTCCTCTCTCCTGAATTTTATATTTTTCACTTGTATCACTTTTCTCGCGGGGATGCTGTATGTCACACTGGACATGAAATAATTAAATAGATTACAATAAATGGATATAGTGCAATTTATATTGCACATATATAACACAATTAGTCAAATCGCGCGCGCGTTCTATTTCCCTTCCTAATAAATAAAAATTTTCTAGCAAATATGTAAAAACATCTTTTGTCTCGATATTTTTCTCTCCATTTTATGGGGAAAGACACGCACAAAAATGCAAAATGTGTTCGCGAATATTACTCTTGCGTGCATACGCAAATAACGATTGTAAATGTTACACGTGGACGCGAAATCTACTTGAGGCTCGTAAAGCGTTTTTCATGTCCCGCGAGTGTATTTGCGGGTTCAAAGTCGTCATAATCCACACAGAGACGGTCTCGTCGTGGATATGGCTGTGGTCTATGATGCGTACATTATCGCGGTTCGTGAGTACAGACACACACATAAATGGTTGTCCACGTTTACGATTGCATTTCTCCGCGTTGTTCTTGCGCACGTGGAGTACACTCGTGAGACGACCGTATAACATCATTTCGTTCTCCTCTCTTTTTTTTATTGGAAAAATTGTGCACGAGTACGTTTGTTAAACGGAGCAAATGACACGATTACGAAATCAGACCTTCAAGTGCAATTCCGTTTAGAGAATTAATTATCGTTTCGTATATATCTATATATGTGTATGGTTGCGCGCGTGGTTGTCAGATATTCAATAAATAATATTTGTATTAATTGAAATTTCATCGAGCAAAATGTTCTGGTTGTGAACCAATAAAAGGATCCGATAAGAATGGCATTTTGATGAGGCTAAATAAAATTTTTTATCAACATTAATACTTAAATATTACTTATAGAAATAAATAACATGGCTAATAGTTGACAATCACGCGCGTAATTATGGCTGTGTTCCATTTTACTGTCAATGCTAAAAGTCCTACAGCTGCGAATTTTGAAACACGATTTATATACATATATATATATATATATATGTATATATGCAAAACAATAATTCATTCTCTAAATATATATTATTTACTTGTCTCATTTTTCTTGCAGTGGTGCGTATGTTGTACTAGATGTGAAACAGCTAAGTTAACAAAATGTTTAATTAATAAAATGGGCTAAAAACGCAAGTTCTTAACTACAAATATTTACTGGCTTTCAAATTTCAAAATATATAATTATACAAATGTTTTATCCTAAAACTAGGACCTTTTCAATGTGTGTTACCGCATATATTATAAAAACAATTCTATCTTATATTTATACATATTAAATATTAAAACAGAGTTAAAAGTCTTGTAAATTATGGTGAATACAATTTGATGACATTCTAAATTATATTCACCGTTATTTACAAGACTTTTAACTCTGTTTTAATATTTGACATGTGCCATGTAAATATAATGTAAGGTAGGATTTGTTTTATATGCGCTAACCAACATTGAAAATGTCCTAGTTTAAAGTCCTAGTTAAAATTGTACAAATAAAACATTTGTACAATTATACACTTTGAAATTTGAAAGCCAGTAAATATTAGTAATTAAGAATTTGCATTAACTTTTAGCTCATTTAATTAATTAATTATTTTATTCAATTGAGCTTAATACATTGTTCCTTATCAAAATTTCATTCTTGTTGGATTAAACTCTTTGTTTTAATCAGAATATTATTTTCAGTGTCAAATTAGATAAATTTTTGTATTCAAGGTATCGATACGTCTTCGAAATATCTATACGGTTTAATTGTAAAATATTAATATAGTAAAACGCACCAAATGTATGTCATTAAAATTTAGCAAATCATAGAAATGTACAAAATCAATAAATTGTAAATGCATAAGTATATGAGATGGAAACAGTTTTTCTCATTACATTAATAGATATTTCGTCGCAAAATTTTAATACCGCCGAAGTTAAGTTATAAAAGCCAACGCGCTGCAAAAGTTTGTTCACAAGTCTTTTCCAATTTTGTAACATTTTCAACAGACATACATAAATGTTAGCGCATCGTTGATGACTAATACTTGAACATTACTTGAATATCTCAAGCGATAAATTAGAATAAACACGGAATACAGGAAAATCGGATCCCGAGACATTACTATTGACATTCTCGGAGGTAACTTTAGCCCTTCGTTCTGTGACTATAACCTTTCCAATTATAATAGTTTTGAATCCAATTTCCTGGGACTATTTCCTGATATACGAACCGTAAGGACCCCCATGGCTCAGTTTCAAAATTAAAATCATTGGCGACGTTGCACTGCGCACGCGTTAGTCGGGACGGATAGAAGCTCGTAAAACGACAATAAAATGACGTGAGCAAATGTAATAAATAATATAATGGCGAGCCGAATTCGTCGACGACACTATCGTAATGATGAGATATCGACACGTATTCGCGCCTCGTCGAACAAGCGGAAGTTTTGGTCGTCTCTATATATAATCGACGTCAATCCATCGTTGAAAAATAAAATTTCCTTAGTTCAAGCAAATGGACAAATTACAGAGTTTGCAATATATTTCGTACTAAAATAAGTCGGTAATTTAATAAATAATACATGAAAAAAATTCGCAAGTATAATCACAGACTGTTTCTATAATTACGAACAGAAAAATATCATGCTATTGAAAATTCTAAGAAAAGTGATTACTTAATTTATTTTCTTCCTTTTGAGTAACGATTATCTTCAACAAAAAATATTTTCTTGATAATAATCTTAAAATATATTTATTACAAATTTTAGAAAAACTCATTATGTACTCAAAAAAAGAATTTATTTCTTTTTTCAAGAATATTATAAAATTAGAATAAGAAGCGACTTCATATGATAAATAAATTAAATTTATTGAAAGTAATCGGCGCGCTATCATATCTTTAAGATAAAAAATATATTTAAAATTATATTTATGTATTAGTTTAACATTTAACTTTGACCATAATATTGAAACTTCTTATATATAAATGATTTATTCATATATGCATAATCTCACTTTGATCTCAACTATTGTTTAAATCGAATTTGTTTTAATATAATATAATCTTGATTAAAATATTAAACTTACTAGAATTTAGAATACGTTTTTAATGAATTTGACGTTTGTGATAAATTTATGATAGATTTGTGGACATATGATCTTCTGAAATACTTAAAAAAAATAGATATTTATTATATTTGCGTACAGTATGTACTTTTTTGTGTATATAGACTGCAGTTCATTTCAGTTATTTTGTATGTGATAGAGAAAGAGAAAAAAATGATATTGACAGAATTTTTATCTATGCTTATATCCTTATCTGTATGTACACATGTATACATATTATATGTGTACATATTTTACATGTATACATATTATCGTTTTTTTGTAGTAACGATTTAGTAATAGCTTCACAATTTCTCGTGGCGATAACGATAATACCTATAGAGTTGGAAAAGTCACTTTTGAAAAGTAGTACCTATTTCCTTATTTTTTTACTCGGTTTTTTTTTTCATAAGAAGATATTTTTTTTTATTAATAACGCGTGAAAATGACAATTAATTATTTTTTGAAAATAACTTTTCCAATCCTTGCATTACCAAATTATTATAAAAAAGTAACGATATAACGACGACGTCACAAATAACGCTTACATTTTATTCCTGTATATAAATTAACATAGAAATGATAACCCATTATTTGGGCCGTATCAAACATGATATATGACGATGAAGAGATGAATTTAGTCGTAGAATTCTGTGAGAATAATAGTACTCTTTTGTCTTGTTAATCTTAGCAACTCCATTGTCTGTTACGATCCTTAAATGCAGACTGAAAATTGGAACGCATTATATTATAAAATGTTCAGTTAACTTTAGTTTCTTGACAATCTTGATTATGTCCTCAAGTGAAATCGGAGATTCGTTCAAAGTACAAATTTGCGAGAAGCGAAATAATTGAAAGAAATTTATACGGAAATGTTCTTGCATATTCATACACACATACATATATTATCGGGACGCTTAATGAAATGTGCTTCTCAGACCACGCTTTACGGCTCTAATATTAATACCGATTCGCACAGCGTTGCCCGCAGATCCAGAGGCTCAACATTTTACTTTGAAATTGCAAATAAGTGGAGAACGGTCGGACGGCGCGGCGAGTATATCTGGTTCGTATCTTCCGGCCTATGTGTTGGTCTTTATAATGACGGCAACACTTTATGCGCTGCCGTACGGCAAAGGGTTAAATATGCGCAAAGCGAAATATACACGGTACGCTCACATGGACACGGATAATGGGAAAACTACGAAGCGGAATTACCGAGCTGTCCTGTTACGTGGGCAAACTATCCACGGTTGTCTCCCTTCCTTTGATATCTGCTCTCGAGCGAAATATTTCCCGCTTTTCCTCTTGCCACGTCCTTGTTTTCGCTTCGTCTATCGGTGACCGTCTATCCGTCATCGATATTAGCCCTAAATCCCTCGCAAAAGTGACGAAAAGTCACATTAAAATGGAAAAATACAATGAAACTTTAATAGATCGTGTAAATGGAAAGTTCTTTTAAATTAATTAATAAAATTAAAATGAGTCTTTGAACTTATACCGCAATAATTTATACAATGATTAGCATCTTGTGTGATATATAGCGTATACAAGTTTGACATTATATTCGATTCAGTTCGTCCTCTGTCAATTTAACTTTAAGCTTCTGTTCTGTAAACAGACATTGTAACTTGTGGAAATTTAGTTCAGTGTGCGATAAATTCTCTATAGGCAACGATTTTAGGATACGCTTCTCCTATATATTTCCAGGATGCTCGGGAAATCCAGACGCGAAGCGATTATACGACGATCTCTTGTCGAATTACAACAAGCTGGTTCGTCCAGTGGTCAACGTCACAGACGCCCTCACCGTTAAAATAAAGCTCAAGCTTTCGCAGCTCATCGATGTGGTAAGCAATAATATTCTCATATTATTCGTGTAGTAATAAGAAAAAGAGTAAGCGAGAATTATGGATTTAAATATATATATTAATATTAAACATTTTTCTAAATTATATAACAGAAAAGTATAAAATATTTTTATATAATGATGTTTTAATAGTGAATAGTTTTTTCAGCATTATTACGTTATTTGAACTCGTTAGCCGCGTGCTTAACATTCCGTAATGATAAAAATTGTTATAACAGATACCATTACATATAATAGTTTCGTAGTTCACTTTTTAATTATTTCGGGAAAGCATAAGATATGTCGGCTCATAACGGAATATTGCAATATATTTTCAGAGCATGGGAGAACGATGTTTTCTCACAAAATTATTCTCTTGCAGAATTTGAAGAATCAGATCATGACGACGAACCTCTGGGTCGAACAGGTAGTATATCCTAACAAAATCACCTAACGTAGGAATTAGAATAGAGAGAAATTATGGAAAATTAGAAGATATTTGTTAAACGCATAATGTAGCGTCGCACGATATTGGAATAGCATTTGTAACAAATCGTAACAATTTTCGATTACGAATAAAATCGCTGAAATTTTCATTGTTCGGTCGCCGTCCACGTGGAAAGTAAATGTTCAGCCTGTCGATGACACGTTTTAGCACGTGTCTGCACGCGCGCGGATTTTCGTACGCAGAAACAAAGATCGGACAGTAGCTTCCGCCCGGAGAGAAGCCAGAAAATAACTCCGGTGAACCGTGCAACCCACTTTCAAATGCTGAATTACGTAAGATAGATAGATTCGCCCCATGTGCGCAACCGTTTTTCCATTCGGGGATATACAGCGAGCACAAAATAGATTCGTGTAATAAATACGCGACTTGCGACGAAAAATCGGGTCATTAGAAAACAGATACCTTATGATACGATTATAGGGTGTCGCTTGATAAATATTATAAAGACTCTTCTTATGAGATCAACGAGGATAAATGAAAACATATTTATGTACTTTATATAATATCATTATATATTGAATTGTCTTCTTTTTGTAGTATTTTCAGAGAAATTATAAAAGATTGTACTTTCTTGGTAGTATTTATGTTATACATTATATATACCTTTTTAACTTCGTTTGTATAACTTTTCTACACGCGCGTTCTAGATTATTATCGTATTTCTCTTATCGGATATTTGTATACATATCGAAAGTTTTAATTATTTTATCGTTGGAAACAATCAAAAAATAAAATGGAATGGATGACGAGATTGGTAATAGAAATAAAATCAGAATAAATTGAAATTTAAACTAAAGCTTGAGATTGACATGTGCCAATTTCGTTACAAATTTCAATTTATTTACAAGGATTTTATAAGTCCTCGTAAATACGTTAGCACAAGTTAAATATTAGCTACATTTAACATACCTAATTTGTTTTGTCAAGTCTTTGTTCAAATCATATATTAAGATGCATTTAATAAAAATTACATTGGAAAGAAAAGAGTAATATAATTATGCAGTTTGAGTTGATAAAATTAAATTTCATTTTTTGTACCATTTGCAAATTGGAGATTTACGTATCTCCGTATTTAGTAATTCTTATGCGAGCTCAGCTCATTATGCGAGTCATGCGTGAAAATTTCATTTTCAGCGTGAAAGGACAATCAAATATTAAAATTATGCGGTAAACCAGGCACAACCGTTGTTGATGTTCACGTACACTCCCAGTTCGAAAAGTTATAAACCAGTGCCATGCCATCCGAAAGTTCGGAATATCCACCGCATCACGCATCAATGTTATCACAAAGTTCGTGCACGAGAATGTTAATTTAGCCGCAATTTATCGACGGGATTAATCGGTTCGTTCTGGCACAAGCACGCTGAAAATGTCTGCACTGCGAATTAATTGTCCGCCGATTTTTTCATTGAACTTTTTAAACGCACCTTTGTAACAATTGTAGTTTCTATTATCGATTTATGACATTATCTTCACTGATCTATGTATTAAATTTAATAAAATATTTTGCCATTTGTCACAGTTTGCCTTATATTTGGATTGCATTAAAATCAAAATTGCGACATTTAATTATTATCAAAAAATTGTACATTAAAGAGTCCGATATAAAAGATTAATAGAAAATAAATTCGTATATTACGAAGAACCATTGTGGTTAAATTTAATTCGATGCTTTACAGCGTGTCGGAGGTGCAAATGGATTACGAGGAACACGAGGATTACGTATTTTGTGATAAATATTTAATAAATTACCTCGCAGACTGCACACCGCTCGCTATTTAACTAAGCTACCTTTGGTTCGGTTAAACACAGCCAAATTTCGCAGAATACAGTTATGTTCAGCTGTATGCCAGCATAATATCCTACCTAGCAAATATAGTGACGCGTAGGCGAAGAGAGACTTCGGCTCCACAAGCTAATATTCAACATGCCCTACGCATAAAGGCTGTGTCTACGCCCGAAGGAAGCGTATTTCCGATGACCAGCAATGTTGGTGGCGTCAGCACTCTATCGTTCGCTATTCCAGTGATATGAGTAGGAAATTAATAGTAGTAAAAGCAATTTACAATTACTAAAGCTAATTTATTTTTTGTGTTTGCAATTTTTTAGTTTACTTCGAAATTTTACAAGCCAGCGCAATAATGGGCGGAACCTATTAGCTCTTTTTATAAATACTTCTATTCTTTCAGAAAATATCTTTAGCAAAAAGATATTGATAATTTTTAAATAATTAGAGATTGAAGATAAAATAAATTGAAAATCATGTTTAGTTTTTTGTAAGACATTTGTATTTTTAAAAACTTCAAAGAATAAAATTAATTTCTTGACATTTTTGAGAAAGGATTTGGACTTTGCGTCCAAAAGCGAAAATTTGGCCCATTTATTATAAGATTCTCTCTCCCTCTCTCTCTCTCTCTCTCTCTTTATAAAACTTAGATATCATTAACAAAAATGTTTGATAAATTTTTTTGGTATGCTATACGTCGTCACATTCACACACAATGTTAATCCTATTTTTTAATCATACTACGAAATTCTGAGAAAAGAAAAATCGATCTTTGTATCATCTACAAAATTCTATAGATCAATGGCATAGAAATTTTTTAATAAAGCGCACAATTTTGATCGAACAATGTGAACAAACAAGGAGAAGTTTGTATGCAATTCTGCGCGTTTTAGCCTTACAACTCGCAATGAGGAAAGTTGCAAAATATTGCCTCTGTGCACTGTTTGATGTCCGTGAAGTAGCTTCAGCTGATTTCCCGATCCTTTGCCGCTTCTCATTTTAAATACATGAATTAGGATGCGATGGATAAATTCATTGATGAGCTTCAAGGAAAAACGTCTACCACATTTACAAGTGATGGAAGAACATAAAATGCGCGAATAGTTTTGTGATATTTTGTTCAATGCAATAATATATCAATCCTCTTCGATTCAAAACAACAGTTTTTTACATTGATATATTCAATCGTCGATATTTACGACATTCTTCATGCAAAAATATAAGTTTGTCTCTGATATAGGAACGAAAAGAGTTTATATAATATGAACAAAACATTTTACTTCCAAAACACTTATCAAGCAACAAAAAAGTTAAAAATAGTACGACATAGTGTCAAGTCATACTTATTAATTTAAGAGATTAGGTCACTGTAATTAGTTAGAAAAATAGATCAATTTTAGAAATAATTGAATAGAAAATTATCGTATATCTAAAAATGTATGCTTATTGAATTTATTTGAATTTTAATTATTAGGGCCATCATTTTAAAGAAAATAGTTTTGAGGAAAACATAACTTATTAATTTAATTGATTTTCTAATTGCAATGTTTAATATAATAATTAATAGGAAATAATGTCTACGTATATATAATTGCATTCTCTCTCCAAGAATAAAATCAATTCTACATTATCCATGTTCAATCAAAAGCATAAAAATCAATACTGCGTCAGAGAAAATGACCAGCATGAATTTCTGGTTCTCAACGAACAGCTGAAGAAAGAATCCGTCATGACTCGATGTATGAACACATTGCTTTTATTATGGATACAATTGTAATTATCGATTATTCTTGCTCGAAGTTTTCATATTAGACATGAGCGTTAAAGCGACGGACATTATGACACTCGTTATTTTTGACGGACGTTATCCCAGTTATACGAACGTTGATCTATTGAAAATTTGCACAACAGACAAGACAAATGACGTAAAAATGCGGTTTTCATATTGAAAATGCAAAAAAAGAGGAACATGTCTCAAAGAAATGATGGATACATCCAATAAATAATGTGAAATTGTTGTGTGTGCACGATGTAATTTCATTTTATTATCAGGAAAGGACGTTTCTCAATTTTTATTTTTAATAATTTAATGTTCTAAAAATTTTTATTAGTTTTTTAAAGAGAGATAGGAAATCATTGCATGTGTGTGTGTGTGTGTGTGTGTGTGTGTGTATGGACAGTAATAGTGAACCAGCATACATATCCATAACGATGTACACATATAACGTATAATTCTAAAAATTAGAAAAAGATTGACAGTAAGTTAAACCGAGATTAAAGTTAATCTGCATTGGTGGAAACAGGCATAAATCATTTATCTTAAATATATATTTCAACTACAAATACGCCTTTGATTGACATCAAGTGCAAAAGTGTGATAACGACATTGTGCGTTGCTCTTGAAGAACATGCTTACGAATTCCGACAGTGGCAGCTGAGACGGATGTACTGTGTGATTTTATTGAGAAACGCGCGGCAAAAGAATACGAATATTTTTCTAACTTCTACAGTGGCCTAATTCCTTGAAAGACGTGAAGTAACGTAATAAAAATAAAAGTGACAGAGAAGATAGAAATGTGCGATATTGTTACATCGATTCTTTGTTCACAGTCATGGTACGATTACAAGCTGAAATGGGATCCGAAGGAGTACGGTGGAGTAGAGATGCTGCATGTGCCGTCAGATCACATATGGAGGCCCGATATAGTTTTATATAACAAGTAAGATGATATCGTTGATTGAAAGAAAAGACGATTGTTTTCTTTCTTGGTTTTTTGCCTTGTTTTCCAATCTTATTATTGTTCAGCTTTTCTTTCTTTAATATGTATTATTTGGATAGAATATTATTGATTTGAATACTAATTAAAAGATATCTCATGAATGTATTATGTATAACGTATGTATGATATAAGAACGCGTAAGTGATTATTTTTATTATTGCCTTTTTTTGAACATTTTTTTACATAATTTCCAAAAAAATTATATATATTCTTTGTTATTTGATAGAATATATACTATTTAATAAAAAAATTTTAATTTTTATTATTATATACTATTTATTTCCAAGCAAAATTTTTCGACATTTTTTATTAAATTTTGACACATGTTTTGAAACAAGAAACATTGAAGATTAAAAGTATAAGCATATTGCGTTTACATGATGAAGCATGCTTTCATATTTGAAAAATAAACGAGCTGCTTTCTAAATAATAGAACACACTCTTTTGTGTGACAAACTATACAGCATGTCTGTTGGGACTATACAATGTGTTAAGTAGAAGTTAATTTTTTATAAAATCATGTCTGAAAATGGCAAGAAGTAAATTTTGTATAAAACTATGCATTTAATTAAAAAAGACTTGTCAATAATTCAATAGTAAAATTTCTTGTATAACTATTAAACAAATCGCTGCTTTAGAAAAAAAATTATTTATAACTGATAGTTATTTTGACCTCTCCACCGTTTTTATTTATGTAGAATTGTAGAACTGTGTAAAATAAATTAAGCCGTATAAAAATCGGGAGTTGTAAAACTCAGGAAAAGATTTTACTTTTCATTTCTTATAATTCTTTAATACAATATTTATCGTCATAAACGTTTACATATCAACCTATTTTATCTATTCGACCTCTTTAAATTAATTTGGTCTCTCAATCTCTATTTAGATATTTTATACAGCAAACCTGTATAAAAAGGATGTTACATTATTCTTTATACAAGAATGATAGGGGGGTTTTCGAATAATTTAGAAACAATTATTTATATTATTTCAAATAAGATTATTTTGTCCCGAGATGAGATATCAAAGAATTTACGTTCAACAGCGCCGACGGTAACTTTGAGGTGACGCTGGCGACGAAGGCGACCCTCAACTACACGGGCAGGGTCGAATGGAAGCCGCCGGCGATTTATAAGTCTTCCTGCGAGATCGACGTCGAATATTTTCCCTTCGACGAGCAGACGTGCGTGATGAAATTCGGCTCGTGGACTTACGACGGCTTCCAGGTGAGAATTGCCTGATATCTCGCCGATATTTTGGAAATTTCCTTCCATTAGCTAAACGCGCGACCAATCGATTTAACTGTTGCAGGAAAGCCATTTGTTTCTATCGTAAGTTAAAAAAAGAATTGACATAAATAGAAAGATACATCGTACGTGAAAGTGTACAATGCCAAGGGTATTTATATCGTATTTTATTTCCGGTGATCTTTTTTCTTCGTGAATCAAGAATCTGATAAATAATTAGATCTTTTCCATGTTCCTTTTTCTTACGTGATATGTGTTATTCCTAGATGAACTAAATCAATTAATCTTGAAGATTCAAAAAATTAATTTATTAGTGTGATAGGAAGATCTCGCAGGGATCTTCTTGTTAGGGCAATCATAAATATTCCGATTATTGTCGCTGGCCGTTAGGCACCGCGCAGTAAAAGATCGTGCTTGTTATCTTTTTTTTTATTGAGTAAAAGTCGCTTGTTAGAAGCGCAATCGAGTATAAATAATAGGCAGACGGAACGTAGGGGTAAAAGAGATGAGTCGGTGAGACGAAATTGTCTGACCTAAATATTAAGTATTATTATTATTTAAAAAGTGTTCTCGTGCTAATATAATCTATTTCTGCTTACGCGAAAGCCTTACACATTGTAATTAATTGTTTCTTTTGAACTGTAAACTTCGAAAAGAAAACTGTACTCAAGTTGGCTTATCTATGATTTTTGCTACTTTTTTCAGACAAGTCCAAAATTGAAAATTAATGGTCAAATTCAAAAGAAAAACATTTTTTAACATTAATTAATAATATGAGACATTTTCAAATATCTACATAAATGAATGAAGACTTTAAAAAAGTATGCGTTTAAGTCAATTAGTATATATGCATATTACTTAATATGGTTTAATGTATATGTACATTACCCTTTTTAAATAAAAAATGATAGAGAAGTGAAAAAGTGATTTATATAATGTCACTTATATAAGATTATAAATTTATTAATATTTACATATTTATTGATATGTACGAGTATATGAATACACAAAAAACTGTTTTCTAAATAATTTATTTATCTATTTATCTACTTTTATCTCTACGATGTTTAACAAGTGAATTAGAATTTATAGCCTAATTAACAAAGTATCAAAATAACATTAAACCAAAAAATTACAATCCATGTGTATCCTAATCAATATGCCTAAGTTGACTATTGGTTCTATACCTTACAAAGAGTTTCCTGTTTTTTGGTTCTACCTTACAAAGAGTTTCCTTTCTTCGATTATAAATAAAATATTATGATCAAAATATAAACTAAACACACTATATATAATATATAATTACAATAATTATTAACCGCGAAAATTAATGCTTTCCATTTATTGACACAAGTCGATATAAATATCATTCTGTGTTATTTCACTAAATGTCAAGAAATATAGAATAATGCTTGTGTCGACTTGTGTAACTAAATGGAAAGCATTCAATAACTATTACCTGATAGTTACAGAAAGTAAACTTACCTATGAAATATTAAATCACGACATTCTGCATTTGGCTTTTCTGACAACAGAATAATTACAACTGAGCACAAACTGAGCAATTATTTAACTAATGCAAACAAATTGACAAACATAAACGACTAATTACTGTAATAAGCACAACATATTAGTGCTGTTTGTTGAATTCATCGTGTAAATATAAACATTGAGTAGGTCATATTGGGTATAGTTATTTTACTTGATTGATAGTATACGCGTAGACTTTCTTATGATAGTAGAAAAAGATGAGCAAAAAGTAACGATTCTACGCATAAAAGTTAAACCCAGACAACATTCCAGCAATATTGCTAGAATGTTCTCTGCCAGAGATTGATTGGATGTTAAGCAACGTGATATCAACAATGCATTGTAAAATTTAGTAATTTACTGTTAAGGTCGATCTTCGACACATCGACGAGGTCCGAGGCAGCAATGTCGTCGACATTGGCGTCGATCTGTCGGAGTTTTATACTTCCGTCGAGTGGGATATACTAGAAGTCCCTGCTGTAAGGTACGCTCTAATAATTCTCTTTTGGGTCATTAAGGTTTTGCGCTTGTTTTTTTATGTGCTGGTACAGCAATTTTAACAAATTGGTAACGACATAGACTTTTTTCTATACTTGAAGCGATTATTTACTAAGCATTAATAATGAAATTTTATTAATATGAGGCATCTAAAACAGTCCACTTGAATAACTCGCTTGTTTTGCCTCACTCTGTATATATAGGAATATTAATTATTTCGATTTTAATTCTGAATCGAAGAAAGTATGCTTTTAATATTTAATATATTGTAATCGCGATTGTGTTAAGTATGTGAATGTGTAATTGTAGAAATGAAAAGTTTTACACATGTTGTGACGAGCCTTACCTCGACATCACTTTCAACATCACCATGAGACGGAAGACTCTATTCTACACCGTTAACCTCATAATACCCTGCATGGGAATATCATTTCTCACGGTGTTGGTGTTTTACTTGCCAAGCGACAGTGGAGAGAAGGTAATTAATTCATAAATAAATTCATAAGTAAATCGTTCTCCTGATTTCATTTATATATATAAATATATATATTATCAAATTAAAATTAACAATAAATTATATACATTATGTTTTAAATAATACAGTTTGCTTGACCTATTTCCTCATTAAGAAAATCGTTCGTCTTATTGCTTAAAATCTTATGGAAATTAGATTACTTAGTAATTAGATATATCTTATGAAATTAAATATTTTATTTTAGAAATGAAAGTAACAAATAATTTTGGAAAAACAAAAATTTTATATTTCAATTAAATTAGAATATAGAATAGAGAAATAGAGAAATAAAGTTTTATTTCTTTTTTAGAATTGTTTGGAAAACTCTATTTTTATATATCTCTAAATATTTCGTTTTAGGAATAACATAGAATTTAACAATCAAATATTAATTTCTATAATATACTCAAATTTTATTGGATTAGACCAGAATGATGATAACCAGATCTAATCAGATTTAACCAAATGTTAATGAAGTCGAAATGTATTGTCATTAATTTTACTATTTTATATTTTATTTAATAAATTATCTTTTTCACCCTTATTATGCTCATTCACTCGACCCTCCTTTGTTTTTTATACCAAATATAATTTACGATTGGATAAAAATAAAAATTAGTCATTATAACTTGAGCTGCATTTTTTTGCATATATTACAAGTTTATCTCACAAAGCACAGTTCTCGCAAGGGATGTCCGCAGAATTAGAATGGAAACCGTCTTCTTTGGATGTTCTTAGGACATACCTTGAAGAACTTTTCTGTAACCTTTTTAAATAAATTTAAAGATATTTAGTTTTAGTCTTTACAACCAAAAATTAATTTATTCGATTAGATGAGACTAGAAAGATAAAATTCGCGATTATAAATTAGATTAAAATTAAACTTGCGTCAAAGTATAATAACTCAATTTCTTCTCGATTATATACGTTGAAAAATCTTTAACCTCTCTTAAGGACGTAGACAATGATTAATCCACAAAATGCAAGAATATTATTCGACTAAATCGAAATAGCCGACGATTGACCTTATCAGAATAGAACAGTATAGTTCACACGCCATTACAGTTTTATTCACGATCGACTTTATTGTCCCGATATCGCGTTTCTCTTTATACACCTTCGGGAACTTTACTTCAGCGTCGTAGTCGGAAATTAATTTTGCAGACGTAAAGATTTGGCTCGATTAGATTGGAATATGGAATATGGCACAGCTAGCTTGCACACCATTACAGTTTAATCCGCGACCGACCTTTTCACGTCGGCGTTACGTCTTTAAGCGGCTCGTAAGATACACTCGACCTCGAGCACCAATATCCTCTTACTGGCTTACATAATTCAGATGTATTCTTCCGCTTTGTCACTGCGGAAGATGTACCGAGTTTTTCCTTCGCGGAATAAGGTAGGCAAGCAAGAAAAAAGGGAAAGAAGGTCAAATGTCAGGATGCTGGTCGTTTAGCAATCGGCGAGGATACGCAATGAGGATACGGGGAAAGAAATAGGGCTGGGGTGAAACGGCTGTAATGCGCCTTGCAACGTGCTCAGCACATAGAATCAATGTGAGAGAACTGAAAGACAAAACCTTCTCCAATCAGCCCCAATGCACTTTTAAAGTGCAACTGGTATACATTTGTAGCTTTATAAATTCACAGTCGAAAGCTAGGTTGTTTCGTAAATCATGGAAAAACTAGAAATGTATAGATAAAATTTAAATTTCTTTGATTTTTTTGAAAAGTATTCAAGTAAGTTTAACTGTTTCTCTTTTAACGCATTATATTCTCGAGATAGTAATTTTCAACGAAATTGTTAACTTTTATCTTAAATCTTCTTTCTTTTGTTAAAAATAAAGCAGTACGAAACATTGCGACTGCGATGTGATTGTACAATGTAATACGATTATATTTGTTCAGAATAATATATAATACGAGCTACTTAAAAAGTTAAGATTGATCTATAATTTTATGAAATGGGAAATAAAAAAAATTAAAGCTGTTATCGGATATCAAAATTATTTGTAAAAAATGGTGTAAAGTTTGTTTTTTTACGATATAAATTTAGATTATTTTACTAATTTATGTGTATTCTCTATTTTTAATATTTAGAAATTTAAAAGTATAATTCTCCATTATTCTTCTAGCATATTTTACAGCTTTTCTATAAATAATGCATTCTATAGGGTCAAAATTCTAAAACTTTTCTCTCACTCTACTGTAGGTCAGCTTGTCCATCTCAATTCTGTTGTCACTGACTGTGTTCTTCCTCTTGCTGGCCGAGATCATCCCGCCTACATCTCTCGTGGTACCACTTCTTGGTAAATTCGTCCTGTTCACTATGATCCTCGACACTTTCAGGTAAACAAAAATTATTATGACTGCAAAATACACTGCGGTAACAAGAATATTAACATCGAATATTAAATCTATTAAATTAAAGTGGCACATATGTTTCAATATACCTATATAAAATTCATACGAATTTTTTTAAATCTTGACGTTTATTTAATATTGTGCGAATATTGTTGATTCCTGGATTTTATTACTTTATCTACAACATTGAAAAAAAAGATGTGCCATTCTAATTTAAAGTTAGTACAGTTACGGGCAATTGAATAACTAACCCGATTGCGAATTGTTTCGTTACATCTCGGCATATCTTTCTTTCGTACTTTGCAGCATATGCGTAACAGTGGTGGTCCTGAATGTGCACTTCCGTTCGCCGCAAACCCACGTAATGTCACCGTGGGTCCGACGCGTGTTCATCCACGTGCTGCCGAGACTGCTGGTAATGCGCAGGTATAATACGCCATCGCAGAGAACCGATTACGATTCCAGGCAAGATATATTCTTCTGGCATTTGTGGCCCGGTCATTGGAACCACGCCAGAGCGGGCATTAGAGCACTCATTAGTGTTTCCCGTGCACGTGACATTAGTGTCGCGTCATACCTGCAAGCATTTAGCACCACGGTGCATCACTTCTGCATCGCGCTGCATCGTGAGTGATGTGTCCGCCTATCGTTAGTCGCATCTCTCCTCACTATGTGTTTGTCATATAAATAAAATTTCCTGATTCCCAGCGAGACATCGCTTGTCATAGACGGTCGGTCGAGTCCGTATCGTTTATTTCAACCAGAAATTCTATTAAAACTATGCTACATTTAGACGTATTGTCCGCATCTTTCTAAAAGAAATTGTTTCGATGGCACAAAGTGGACGAAATTGTACATCGATAATATTCTATAACTGCATATTTTTATTCAGGAATTTTATTTTATGATGCGTAATACTTTTTTTTTTTTGAGCAACGTTATTACTTCTTGTATATACTTGTACGCGCAATATTGAATATGATGCTTCGTTGATTCTGCCATTAAATTGGACATCGCATAACTAGCCATGCAGAAACTTCATAGAAAATTTAGAGTCGCTCCTCATCATTCAACGTTACTTGAATACATACATCTCGAAACATTTGCAACTCTGCCAAACTAGAAAGTTCGAAGCATGTGTAGTCACGATCTCGTTTGATACATATACGAGTATCATAAACCCAACTCTACAAAGCAATAAGTTATTCACTGCTGTACATGGAGCTTAAAGCTGTTGTAATACGGGCAGTCAATGGTTTTTATTAGTTCGTCAGTTACTCGCATGATGAAAAAATTTCACCAAAATTATTATCCACGTTTTAGAACATTTCGGCGAAATTGCTGAAAATTTGCTGCGACAGTAAATTTTTCAGCTAACAATATTCGAAAAATCGCTGAAATTGAACTAAAACCTCGGAGATTTTGCTGAAAAAGAATTTTTCAGCTAAAAATCACTGAAATTAAACTGAAAATTTTCTAAAATGCTAGAATTTTTGCTGAAAAGTATTTCAAAACATGAAATTTTAGCGAAATTTTTACACCAGAGATATCATAGAAAATCGTCGAGCTCGAAACTATGGATGTAAATGTATACTTCCTGTGCGATCGTAATAATTAGTCTCCGACCAGAAATGATTAGTCGATTGACGTTAAATCAGCATCAATTTGACGTCGATGATCGAGACTCATCATTTATGGCTGAGTTAATCTCTGATTAGAATTTTTTAAAATGTGCAAGATATTAGATCGCAATGTATTTACAGACATAGTTCTCATAGTTTCGGAATCGAGTCGAAAATGAGACGAAATTTCCGTGTCGGATAAACCATATTGCGTTTTTTTTTTCCGCTCTAGGCCGCAGTACCAGCTAGAGAAGCGTGCCATGGGCGGGCATCATGGACATCGCGTGATGGTCAGAACATGCAATGGTCTCGAATTGCGAGATCCATCACCGTTCGTTGAGTCCTCGGCCTCGGAGCTGGTCGAGTCCTCTGTGCTGTTTCCTAGTGTCGACTCACGGGATGAGCTGCATCCTCGGTACGTATATCGTCAAGATCTTGGAATAAGCTCCAAATAATAATTGATACATATGTATTATGTGGTGCTAAATAATGTATAATTTCCCAGTATCTGAGAATGGATTGAAATGGATTAAAATGGATTCAAATTTTCAGAAATACGGATTCATGAATGTTAAAATGAATCCTTTTCAATCCGAATACGTTTTTATTCATTTATAGGAATTGCATGGAGCATATCTGTATACTTTTCAATCATAAAATAATATTATAGCTTTTTCAGTGCGTTTGTGACCACAGTGAATACTGTTCAATTCAAAATTTTGAATAGGAAACGCAGTTTTTCAATCTAGTTGCATCCGATTCAATCTAATTGACCAATTGAATCCAATTGAATCCAAAAAAAAGTTTTCACTGTTTAAAATACGAATTCGAATAGACAAAATGTCTAATCCATTTTAACCCATTCTCGGATGCTGGGTTATTTAATTATGATAATTTTAAGCTTTATGTACGATACACATCATATCACATTATTTTATTTTACGTTTCAAAGTATTATACGCAAAACTATGAATATATTATACATGTTTAAAAAATGAATATTGTATAAATAATTGTGTCAGTAATATAAAATTCTTTATTATACGCGAAAAGAATTACTTTGCTTAAATATCTAAAAATATAGCTACAATAAATACAGATTTGAATATAATTTTCTTGAAACTACCAAAATAATTATATAGAACGTTCAAACTATAGTTTCTTCAATGATACTTTTTATTGTCATCAACGTTTTACATAATTATTATGTCCAAAAAAATTATTTTTAAACCTGTATATCTATATGTAAATAAATTTTTAGATACTCTAACAAATAAATTTATAGAAGTAAAAAAAATAAATGCCAAAAACTTCAATGATGTAGAATGTAGATAACATCGAAAATAAATACGCTACATTATCGTGTTTTTTTTTTTAGCTGCTTTATATGAGCAAAAAGGTTTTATTTGAATACTGTTTCTCTGATTTATTTTCTCAAGTTTCTAGAATATATACTTCTTCATTGTCATCTCGTTTTGCGATTGTATCATTTGCTTAGGGAGTTGGAAGCAGTAAATTTAGGAAGCACGTGCCGTATCCACGGTTCGCCAGCGGCAACGGCCGCGCCGCCGCCGCAACTTCCAACACAGGAGAGCGTCGACGCTCTCTGTAACACGCTCCACCATTGGCATCACTGCCCAGAACTATACAAGGCCATAGAAGGTATTCGCTTCATCGCCGATCATACAAAGAGAGAAGAGGATTCTACTAGAGTAATTATATAATTTCACGTAACTTAGATAACAAGCAGTATTCTAATATAGAGAGAACATAACACAATCTAAATGAGAACTTTGGAAGATATTTATATATATTTAATAAATAAGATATTTCAAAAATTAGAACATTTAAAAAAATTCCAAAATTGAACAAATTTCCAAAAATTTTCTCTCTTTATGTTTTTCTTAGATATTATTTTTTGCATTATGTAATAAAATATTCAAATAGCCGCGTTCTTTATATTTGAAAAACGTACGTAATATACATAGATAATATTTTTTAATAAATATATATGGTAATTTTGGTTATAAAGTTAAAATACATTTCAGAATAAGAGAAACATCGACACATGTACAGTATTTCCTTTGCCATAAACACTGTTTCGTGCTTTAAAAAACATATATGGAAAGATTTTGCTGATACGCGTAAATTTGGTAAATTATGTTGGATACTTAAACTGATTTCTAGAATGTCAAAACTTTTTAAAATATATTATCATCGTGAGCATTCTACATAATTATTTTAATACTTCAACATAATTATTTTTAGATATGTATTATTTGGCGCTTGATTTTGATATACTTCAGCAAATACTTTATATTCTTGATTAATCATCTATGAATTTAACCGTAGGTCAAGGAGGATTGGAAATATGTCGCAATGGTGCTCGACAGATTATTCCTTTGGATCTTTACATTAGCCGTAGTCGTCGGCACAGCCGGGATCATACTACAGGCGCCGACCTTGTACGACGATCGCATCCCCATTGATGTACGGCTCTCCGAAATCGCCTCCACCACTGCCAAGCCACACATCGTCACGAGCCTCTGAGGGACAATTACTAATTGCATTAATGCCGCGCGCGTAAAACACGTATACAAAACACACACAACAACCTATTACTACTATTACTACATCGACACAGGCGACAAGCGAAACGTATTGACGTCCGAAAGACTGAAGCCTCGCTAGGTCTTCGACTTTTGCATGAATGCATGTCGTTCGACTTTACACATTTGCGCCGCTACCGAACGGAGAATTCTTATTATATTATCAACTCATTAACTGTCATCCTTGTATTTTTTATTTTTAACTGATGATAACAAAATTATTATTAATTAATTGATAATAAAATTAATTAATAATAAAAATTATTATTAATAATAAAAAATATATAAGTCGCTGATACACAAATCCATATGAGGATGACAGTTAATGAATTAAGGCGATGTGTACTTTTTACTTTTCTGTTTCGCGCAATAGATATCTGTTAATTAAAAGATTTCTGCAATTATATGTAAAAGAATTAAAGTAAGTTGATTTATTTTATTGTAAATTTTTAATTTTCAAGATTAGAGAAGTCAGATATTGATGTTAGTAATCCTATTTTTTAATATCTTATTTCCTGATTGTTTATAATCGTTATATACACATTGCTGTTTATTATAACCAAATAAGCGAAATACGCTTACATATTAATTGTGGCCTATAGGGGGTAGCGTAGTCACGCGTTAATTTTGTCGTCTTACTAAAAGAATTCCCGAGCCACAGCGGGAAATGAGCTTTCCAGGCGCATAAGGTGATAAAGAAACCAGTAACACGACGAAGAATGTCTCAACCACTTGCACGCTGATTGCGTTTGATTCCGTGTAGCACATGGACAGTGTAAGAAGTTTATAATGTGTAGGTAATACAATCCGATGAACACAAGATAGATCTTCTTATTTCACGAATTAGGTTAAAAAAAAAGATTGAAATTTATCATATGGGGATCGCTAAAAGCGATAATTGTTTGATAGTGTTTCCCACCATAATTTTTATCTCTCTACACCCATTAAATTTCAAGTACAGCTCACTGCCATTCTTGCCAAAAACAAAGAAAGGGAAACAAAAATATTACGAATGTACACATATAATTATGAAACGAAATAAAAAGAATGGCTGGCTCTTAAAAAAATCTAAGCGAAGATATATAGTTATGATATACATTTTTACAATCATTATCAACTCGGATTGGTCATATATATATCTTCGGTTTGTTTAGATTTATGTGATTATATTTTACAATAGTTTAATCTAATCTATTTCATTTTTAATGGTCTATATGTTTGAGATATAAATGTTACTACATATATTAAATAGGTCTATCTATTGTTAATCAAGTTAATTGTTGCGAAAGAAGAGATTGTTTAGAATATCTAATAGTAACTTCATCTTGCATGATATAAAATAATAAGTTCGAGTAATAAGAAAAGCTCACTTATGATCATCGGATTCAGATACGGCCTGTTTCGCGATTAGGAAAATATAATGAAGTTTAATAAAAGAAATGAATATATATAGTAGGTAAAAGGGAGGACAAAACACGTATATACTGTAGAATTAATTCAGAAAGATCTTAACACAGTGCGATTTCGTGCCAGTTGCGTTTGTAGAGACGTGACGACATCCATCAATATCATCCTGCCCTCTCTGTCAGTACGTCAAAAGATATTCTGAATATACGAGACTCAAGCAATAAATCAATAGCCCAAATTGTTAAGTCGCTTTTGTACAAGAGGTATGTTCGCGAATACAAGGAAAAAGGGAAAGAGAAAATGGCGACACGAAAGATGCAAGTGGCACAAAATCGTACGAAGCCTGTTGCAGACTCAGGAACAAAATAAGAGGAATATTATATTTCCTGACACTACATCGAGCCTGTAACAATGGGGCCATATTTTCACAAAGAACGAAAGTGCGTGTTCTCTCATATTTAAAGAAAATAAAAGTAAATGAAAAATTAAATTCTAAATATCTGCATCGATTACACGGCGCAGAATACGGGTTGGGCCTAAAAGATAAAAAAAAAAATAAGAGGAAGTTTAGAGGACTCAACTTTTATTGCTCATAATATTATATGTTTGTAATAAGAGTAACTTTCGTAATTGCATTTGTTCCAGCACCATCCCGCACCGGCCGACATGGCGGGCATTTATTAAACGGATTTGATGGAATATATAATATACGATAACGAGAATTGTTTGATAGCGTTTCTCATCATAATTTTTGTCGTCTTCCTACCCCAATACCATTAAATTCCAATTCGTTTCGACACATGGCAGCTCGCCGCCATTCTTGCCAAAAAAGAAAAGGAAACAATAAATATTATGAACGCGATAATTTATTATTAGCGTGACATATGTAATCATGAATTATGAGGTAGTAAATCGCCATGTTTGATACTTTGTACGTTTCGATATAATTTAGTACGAAAAAAAGACTCTTTAGAGCGTACCAGCGCGCGATTATATAAAGAGAGAATTTTAATTATAGAGATAGATAATTTACCTGGTGTGGACATAAATTGTAAGTTTTATTAATCCTACAATGTATCATTTTGGAATCGAAATATAATAATTTTGTCGATAAATAACATACACGTATAATTTAATTAACATTTCTAAATTTATTTAAATTTAATTAAGTTAATATAGTGTTTTAATTACATTTAGTTTATCGCTCCAAAAATAAATCCAATAAAAGTAAAATATCCATATGAGCCTTCGCGTTTATTATGTCAGTTCATATATTTACAAAGCGATAAGATAATTCGCAAACAATTAGAATGTGAGCAATTAACTTCAATAACTTTGATAAATATACGTTCCAATTATTTACCAATTATATCTTATCGCTTTATGACACACAATAATCGCGAAGGGTCATATAGGTATTTTAATGTATTAGATTTCTAAATTACTCATCAGTTTCAAGATACATGAAAAAATTTCTCCGTTTTTCGTGCCTTTCAGAATAAAGTGATTACAGATATATTTCATAAAATTGCGTGATTTTATTCGGACAGAAGTGAATATAATCAGTAAGTACTATCACTTATTGATTTGTTTTTGCAATAGTGTGAAACTGAGAGAGAGAGAGATATGCGAAGTATTAAATACAACCGTTTTGTCATTATGGCAATAAAACTAATTTCAAGTATCATATTTTAGCGCAAATTTTTTTCCTTTTTTTATTCAACAAAGACAATGCTTGAGTTGTGAGCATGAATATAATAAAAATAACGATTACATGTTATTGAAATAAATGCAGTAATAGTTAAATGCAAATTGCATCTTTCTGGTGGTATATATCCATAAATATATGAATAATCCTTACACGCATAATATAAAACAATATAACAAGATATTTTTAAAAAATGTCTATACGATTAAACTTATTTAATAAATTGTCGTTGTCTTTATTTACATAACACACACACACACATATTTTCATAACATTATCAACAATTTAAATGCGACAATGTCTTTGCATCATAAAAACTGAACACTGCATACGAAATTCCTAAATATGAGCTCCTTTCTAGGATATAAAAAAATAGTACCAAATAATGTTCCACTTTTTAAAAAATCTGAGTTTTGTCAATTTTAAGAGCGAGACTGTATATTAAGTACGTCTCTAGCGTTATCCTTGAAATTATTGCGATAACAATTTCTTTGTTCAAAAATGCATAGTAACGCAACCTACTTGAATTATATATTACCTATTTACTGCCATAAACAAGGATGATATCCGTATCAAAGCCACTGTAATTGAATTTATGTACCCAAAATCAATTTGTTACTACGAATTAGTGACGATGTCTATATCATCCATCGATGCAAATGCAAACTGCACGATAATTTATTATTTAAAGAATTTAGATGCAATTGTATCATACAAAGAAATGTATATTCAATTTGGATAAGAGTGCCATTCAACGAACCGATATCATATTTTACATATATATAACATAACAATTAGTATAATATTTATGTGCTTTGAATTGTGTAAGTGATTAACAGAGCGATCAACAATACTCAATACCTGCCCCGAAAAAACGCCTCCGACTAGATTGTAACGTTATTGGATCATTCAGCTAACCGTTCGAAACGCATCCTATTAAATAACGCGTAAACGATGAATTTTCTACATAAGTGAGTGTACATCTACGAAATTATGAAATAAATTTAATTTTTGTATAAAAATTGCAGTACAATCTTTTTACATTTTTCTAATCTTTTTTCATTGCCTGAGTACACCCAACGTATGTTGATTATTTCATTTGTTCCGCCGCTAATTTACAATGTACGTATGTACAAATATAGATACATCTGAGTATTCGTTGAACATAATAATAAATAATATAAGCCACCGATATGATAAGTCAATCCTAAAAAAAATTCGTACGTATTCGATATTTTAAATATCACGATAACAAAATCTTTTCTTTCATTATACAAACAAATTCGTTTGAAACGGGCTCATATCTTATGTCGTTGGTATAAATTCTGCAAAAAATGCTCCTTTTCAAAAATATTTTAGTATAAAATGTACATTGTAATAAGACTCAACATGTTTATAACAAATAATATAGAGAAACAGGGCAATGAGCCAATAAATATTACGTTAAAAATCTTATTAAATTAATTTAATATATTGCGAAGAATATCACGTGATTATGGCGTTTCGTCCCAGCTTCCACTACTGGACTCATCGGTAAGGCATTGTAGTGGAAGCTTACCTTATACTCCTGCAAGAGTTATTCAATCGAGATTCTATATAAAGATATACGCGTATCATTTTAGTATAACTTTATTAATTCTCCACTAACTCGTCGTCTATTTGTGTTTCAAATGATTCCATTTCCTTAGCATCTTTTATTGATATATCTGTGCTGCTTTTAGCTTCACGAATCCTTCTAATTTTCTTTTTAATTGCCATTGCGCCTATTCATAAATAATACATTATCCAAGTTACAATTTAATTCATGCATGCAAACTTCAAATAAAAAATAAGTATATAAAACTTACAAACTAATGTTTGCCACAATTCGACTTTCTTTGCTGTTTTAATATTAATTTTCCTCAAAGATTCTTTATGTCTCTTATGAATGCTAGCTAATTCAATAGCTTCCTGCGTCGGTGGTGGAAAGAGGCAAATTTCGATCCAATGTACAGCTTTTGCATGTCCAATCAGTCTTATCCATACCTAATTGTATATTTTCATTAACATATAACATTTATACAAATACATACATACATATATAGCATAAAAAAGGTAACACTGTAATATTTATTTAAAAAATATAGGATATTTGTTCTTACCGAATCTAAACATTCCACCGCAAACCAAAACCACAAACCAGGCTCTATCCTTACATATTTAATTTCTTCTGACCAAAGCATAGATGTAGGCACATAATGTAAATACAGATATATCCTGAGAAAATCAACATGTAATTTATATAATAAAACGATAATAGATTGAAAATATAATATCGACTAACCAAATCAGGCAGTGTAGTAGGAATAACAGTTTAGAGACTGATCTCCCAACAGTTTGAAAAACGCACAACAAGATCCGACAGACACTAACTATCACAATGTCAATAGTTTTATACATTAGAAAAGTACTTGTAACTGTACACCATCTATCACTGTGAAAAAATACATACATATATATAATATCCCTATAAATATAAAAGATTAATACAAAGATTTACAATGTTGTAATTAAAGAATTAAGGTTTAAAAGTTTACATAGGGCGTTTTCCAGTAACAACACAATATAACACCATGAATCATTACATTGTTGTTATTTGACACAACATTGAATAAGGATAAAATGATTCATTATGTTATACCATATCCTTCCTAAAAAGAAAACTGTTCAAAAACAGTTTTCTAGTCAAGACATAGAACAGCTGATAAGAAAAGAAAATGAAGACTAAGCAAATAAAAGCTGTGTAAAAAATGAAGTGTTATGTCTATAACAAAAAGGTTCTAACTGAGAGGATTACTTTTGCTGATATGGATTCAAAACAAAGGACGCAAAGAGCAAGTTTGCGCAACCCTTTATCCAAGCACCGTAGCATAGTATATCAATCCCTGCTTGATGAAAGTAAAAGCTCTTATGCAATGCAATCCCTAATTCTTGGTATGTCATTCCCTGTTCATGGGGTGCAAAGATTAAGATTTGCATGGTCGATGATTTCATGTAACATATACTACCAAAACAGAATCCACAGTTCCATGCAGCTTCAATTATCCTGCTTCGTTGTAACAATGGAAAATGCATACGTCTGAACAGTAACTACACACAATAGAAAAACATATATTTTAGAACACAATAGAAAAGCATATATTTTAGAACAAAGTATAAACATATTTTTTAAATATATATTATTTAATATAGATAAATAAAATTCACATGTATATATATATATATATATATATATTTAGCCTCCTAACACTTTTGCTTGCTAAACACTTCCACCTTTTCATCATGTCAACTAAAAATTTTCTGGTAAAAACTTTCTTGATAAGAAAAAAATATATGTTAAAAATCTATCCAGTAACTCGTATTTAGCTTATGAGAGAAGTGTTGAACAGGTCCTGTTTTAGAAGAAAATGTACAATCCAAGTTTTATTGTTAGACTCACGTTAAGACATTTTTCATACACCAGATACAATATCGTCCAAAATAGGATAAGGTATCCAACGAGCAAATCGGTGTCACGCACCTTCGTGTCATTTGGATAACGTAAGCCGATTGCTTGCTTATTCCATAAATTCGGGAGAAAAGGCAAAAAATTGGTTGGATCGAGCAGAGAGTACAAGCCGATGGCCCAGTTACTCGCAGCTTGTTCATACATATTCCTTATCATTTGATAATGATACGACAGAGTAATAACATTGTGGGCAATGTAAAATTTAAAAATAACAGGACCGTACTGGTACTGCGAGATAAGAGCACTTAGATTTGTTCCTTAATCCTTCAGTAATCAAGCACTCGTTATACTTGGTTATGTGTTCTCTAGGAACAGCTGATAAATCTATTGTTTGTGAATCTGACAGATATTCGCTAGAGGACGCGCGATGGAGCGCGCGTGTGCGCACGTGTGTCTAGAAATTATAAACTAAACTTGTAAAAAAGAATTATATAATATTAACCTGTAAGTATAAAACACATAGTATACACATATAGTATACACATGTAGTATATTGAATGCTTAGAACACCCCAAATAAATTTTATTTTATAATTTTTTCTCAATAATACATAGGACGTGTTCATTTGAAAACTTTCCAGCTGATTATTTCGAAAAATACATATAAAAGATACAAAAAAAAGTTAAAACACGTATTCCATGATTTCGAGGGAGAAAGAGAATGGCACTCTCAATTTTTTATTTGGAGGGCGTTTTCAACGCAATTTGAAGGTCAAATTAATTTGTTTAAATGGAAACGTAGGATATTTTTTATTACAGGATTTTATTCTACGTAAAAAAACAAGTAACTTCTGTAGGAAATATTTTTTTGTTCGGTCCCTATTTTAGGAGATATTTAAGAAAATAGCAAGGCATAGTTACTGTATAAAATATCATCATTTATAATAACAAATGTTGAAAATGTTCTCCGTTGTTTGCTAAACACTAATAACAACAATTCGCCATTTTCATCTTTTTTATTTTCAAGACTTTCAGTTATAAGTGCATCCATATAACGTTGTCTAGTAAATTTAAATAGAGGTTGCCATTCGGTTCGACTCAAAAACTCCACCGGAAAATATCAACGAGTTACGTCAAAGAATTATGTCAGGAATGTAGAGCTATTCCAGCAAATACTTTCCAAAATGTTCATTCAGAATTCCAGAATCGCCTTTATTATTGTTTAACAAACAACGGAGAACATTTTGAACATTTGTTATAATAAATGATGAAATTTTATGCTGTAACTATGCCTTGCTATTTTCTTAAATATCTCCTAAAATATAAGTGATCGAACAAAAAAATGTTTCCTACAGAAGTTACTTAATTTTGTTTTTTTACGTAGAATAAAATCCTGTAATAAAAAATATCCTACGTTTCCATTTAAACAAATTAATTTGACCTTCAAATTGCGTTGAAAACGCCCTCCAAATAAAAAATTGAGAGTGCCATTCTCTTTCCCCCTCGAAATCATGGAATACGTATTTTAACTTTTTTTTGTATTTTTCATATTTTTCGAGATAATCAGCTGGAAAGTTTTCAAATGAACACCCTGTATATATTGATCGAGTTAAATTTATATATACATACTCTTATTATGAAATAAGAGAGAAGAATGTGTAATAAACTTTAACGCTTTGGAAGTTCTAATAAATGCATAAATAAAGATGATAATAAAGATAATCTCAATGGAAAAAAAATGCAATAAAAATATTAAAAATTCGTATTTTATATTAATATGTTTATATCTTATTTAGCGTAGATATTTAAACTTTCAAATAAGCATTAATTGTGCCCAGCCACAATGCTAATTCATGATTTGGAGTTGAAATCGAAAATAAAATAAAAATATATAATGATTACTTAGATCAATGATTTTTTTATATATAAGCTTATATAAAAACGTATATAAGTTATATAAAATTATTTATATTATATGTATGAAAGGTAAAAAGGTGTATATCACACATATATTTGTATATATTTTTTAAACATTATTATGAATTTATTATAACAAATATTGTTTTCATACTTATTGAAATATTCTTTTATGTCGAAGGATGACTTCGCGTAATCGCCTTAAAAAACAATAATGTTACGCACATATACAATCATCCAATGTATTATTTATGTTATGTATTATTTATGTTACGCAACTATATATACAATCATCCAATGTATTATTTATTGTTATATAAAATTAAAATAAAAGTAAATTACCGATGTTTTAATGCATTCTTTTATGTCATTTATAATATATAATAATACGTATTTTATATTATAAATTATTTCTCGAAAAATTATGTCTTTTTCAAATATTAATACTTTTTTAAGTATTAAATATTATTTGATACTTTTCCACCACGCATTATAATTAAGCTAATTATTATCAAACATGGCCATCAACTGATAAAACTGTTTAACATTTACAAATAGTGTACGCTAGCGATATAAAACGAATCGTCAAATACGGCATTTTAGCTGAGTACGATTGTGTCGTAGTTAGAAAGAACGGAAAAGTACATTGTGTACATCACAGAAAACACCCCGAATACCGATTTTTCGGCAAAAGGAACAAATTGTTGACTAAACGCTCAGAATTTTAGTAACTTTTTTTAAGTACGCAGATATATATGTTTTTCTCTAGTTTTTGGAAAAATATCTCCAGCAAGAGGAACCAAATCTGATGAGTAATGACGTTATTTAGAGAACAAATTAAAATAGTACAAACTTGTGTGTGAAAATATAAATTGATTTAATAATATATTGTTCGTAGAAACCTCTGGCCAGGTCTGATGATTTTTTCTTATTAGAAGAGATATTGCGAAGAAAATTTGATTTGAGATCGGGCAATTTCCACAATATTAGTTATACATCTCCAGTTGAAAAGTGGTCGATCTCCAGAGGAACCCTATAAAAAATGGCAATGTATAATTTTGAAACATGTTACTTGTTTTAGTACCATATGTTATCGCAGTAATACACACATTTTATTATCGCCGTAATTATCAGTCTCCCACTTTTCACAATATTAACCTAACAATATTAACCTACTTGTTCCTTATTTACAAAAAAATTAGCAAGACTTTACAAAAAATTGCTGTTAACGTCGTACTTGTCAAAGCATAAACTCAATCAGTAATATCGTACATTGTGTATTTCATTATTTTTATTTGGATATATTAAAATGTGCAACGAAAACATCCAAAGATGGACCGACAAGGTGATGCTGAAAATTATCGAAAGCCTTGGATTGGATATTAGCGAAACTCGATATGAGTTACTTAAACTTCCTGGTTATTTTATTATGTCCCACATGTACCGTGTACGTCTGCAATTTGAGAACAAAGCAAGCAAACAGAACGAAGAACTATCTATGATACTAAAGAGACCCATGTCAGCCAGTTTTAGTCAAATAGCTCGTATTGATCTTCAATTTCGCAACGAGATTCTGTTCTATCAAATGTACAGCCAACCGGGTGAGAATTACGCGAGATGCTTCTACTTTGAAGAACGACCGCCTACCGATTCTGTAATCGCCTTGGAAAATATCAACGAACAAGGATATTATCCTTATCCACGTAAATATGACCCTCCAATCGAATACACATTAGCGGCGATGCGTGAGCTGGGACGATTTCATGGCAAAGGATATGTCATGAAGGAAATGCAGCGAGAGAAATTCTTCGATATCGTGGCGCGAATTCAAGAAGTTCGATACACAAAGAGGACGGAGAGTATCTACGAGTTTCAGAGCGACATTAAGGCTTTACGAGTGGTGGAATATCTTCGCAGTCAGGGTCATGATGCAGTTTTTTGTGATAAAATGGAAGCGATACTTTCGAACGCGTTTGACAAAGTAATGATGAAGACGGTGCAGCCCCATGAACCCTTGGCCACGTTGTGTCATGGTGATTTTACGTTGAACAACATTCTCTTCAAGACAGAAAACGATGGACGATATCGCGCAATGCTAATTGATTTCGCGCTTATCACGTACTCGACCCCCGTCGTTGATCTATCCACTTATTTTTATTTATGTTGTTCCAACGAAATGAGGAACGAGAAATTTTCCGTGTTTATGCGAGCCTACCATGACTCACTCAAGGAATATCTATTGGACGCTGGCATACAGGATATTGAGAAATACTCGTATAACGCTTTGTTGGACGATTACAAGAGAGGTGCTCTTTTTGGTTTTGTTGTTATGTGCATCTTTATACCGACGATATTGGGATATCTTAGTCCAGATATACTAGTGCAAGAAATAGTAGATTTGGGTCCTTTGGAAGCTATGAAGAAACAGAGACACGCCGGCGGAGACGAAGTATCTAAAATACTAGCTGATTCCTTGCTGCATATGAGAGATTTTGGCTGTCTGAATCATATTTTATAATCGCGCGAGATAATTTATATGCATAAAATATATATAATCTTCAGGGTTGGGTAAGTTACTTTTTTTTTTTTTAACTAAATTAAATTAAAGTTAACAACCTTGAAAATTTAACTTAGTTAAGATACAAGTTAATGTATAATGAAATTAATTGAATTAAAAGTTAAGTTAATAAAAAAATGTAATTGAAAAGTTAAAAGTTAAAAATTCATTTTTTTCATGATTTCAGGGTTTCAGTCTTAATAATAACGGGTGACAATAAAAAAAACTATTTAGATTTTAGAACATATCCAAAATTTTTATATTAATTTTTTTTATAATAATATATATCTTTTTTAATAATATGTTTTGTTTCTATATATACTCGGTTTTATGTATAGATATATATATTCTATTATTAATGTCAACACTCATTGCGTTTTTGCACAAAACCTCAAACTTTTATTATTAGAACCGAATAAATGCAGCAGCAAACTATAAATGACTACAAGCTATTGCAAGCTGCAAGTCCTGCAAGTTAGAACCAGTGATGGAAACTCGTGTCCGCTTGCGGACAATAAAGAGTCTCTATACTTGCAGGACATCAACAGTGTCATTCATCAATACGGAACAGACTGGCGTAATAACACATAACCAATGATGCGAATATCTATAATACTTACAACACGCGATCAGTGCCACCGAAGGCGCTGATCACATGCTGCAAGCCGGCCGGAATTCGTGTCTTTGATTACGTGTGGCTCGTATTGGGTCTGACACTTAACTTTAAAAAAATTAATAAAAAGTTATTAGTTACTGATAAAATGTAACTAAATAAAGTTAAAAAGTTAGGAGTCTAAAATGTAACTAAGTTAAGTTAAAATTAATTAACTTTTTAACTTAACTTTTAACTTTTTAATTTAGCACTACCCAACCCTGATAATCTTACATCGATTAACAACATTCGATCAGTAGCGAATAATTTTAAGCTTATAAAAAATATATAATTGATAAAACTCTCATTTTCTATGTGACGTTTAACCGAAGTTATTTTATATAAATAATGAAAAAGAAAAAAGACTACAAGCTAAAAAATTCGCAATAAAATATGCAATTGTTAGTAAATAAAAATTGTCATTTGGTTAAAATTACATAGTTTAATTAGAAACAAATATAGACAACAGACGTTTCGACCTCTATTAGGTCATTATCAATGTTACAGAAAAAACGATCGCAAGTTGTTAAACAAAACAATAATGTACAGAATTATAAAATTAAAAATACAAAAATTATATATAAAATAATAAGTGTACAATCTCACTCGTATATAGTTGACGTTATATTAATTTCGGTACAATAGTAAGAGTCCATAAACCTTAGTAAATCGTCTAGTTGTAGTGTCTAATTATTGTTCCTATTGAAAATACGTTGGTGATGTAGAAAAGTGTAAATAAAGAAAGTCAAATAATATAATAAATATAGATAAATATAATGTAAAAATAAAGATAACGAAAACTGTAGTGGTAAATAAAAGTTGAATGAAGTCATATTATATTAATTTTTGTCAATTTAATATCAATTAAATTAAACAATAATAAGATTATACCTTATAAAATTGTATCAAAATACAATTTATAAAATTGTCAGTTGTTGGACAATGCGATGGAGAGCCAAATTTTAGTTGTTACTCTTAGAAGTTTAAAAATGATATAACAGACATTTCAAGTAAGAAAGATTACATTGGCACTAAGAGGGAAAAAAAAGGATCTGGAAAGAGTGAATATATATGTGGTGAAGTGGGGAAAAATTAGAAGTAAGAGGGAGGAAGTTAAGAAGGAGAGAAAGAATTAATAATCTGTGAATAAGAGAGAGAGAGAGTTTCGGGTATAGATGTTCTAATTTATCTTTGCCTCTTTTAATGAAACTTTTTAGTGTGTTAGAAACTGAAAAGGCTAATTTGCAATGGAACAATACTCGAAATAGGAAGAAAACTTTCAGAAATCGATTTGACGTAAGGAATTTTAAAAATTTATCTTTGACGTGATGTTTATTGTGGGTTTTGTTATTTTATATCTTTTACACAGCATTATCTTACTTATGTAACATTTGTGTAAAGTTCGAAGTATATTCACGAACTTAATCGAAATATAAATAATCCTTGACAGAGAGAGCAGAGAAAGTCTCCTTCCACCACGTTGATGTCGTTGATCCATGGTGATTGATCTGAAAGTATATAAGAAAAATTAAATAATAATTATTTTTTATAGGAATATCTTAATTTTTTAAATTATTAGTGATGGGATTAAGACATTTCAAAAAATTTCTAAAACATATCAAACTCCATAGAATGCATCAACTTTTTGTATACATATATATTATCTGTATATTAAAAAACAAAAGTTTTATATCTATCTCTACTATATCATAGTTCAAGAAGTGCGTATTATTTTTGCAAAATATCTTTTGTTTTACACAATAAGCTACATCGTATCCAAACGAAACGCATTTCATTTGTATAATTGATATATAATTTAAGATCACTTGCGCATATCGGCATATGTATGTAAACACAGAATTAAGTAAGAAAAGTCATAGAAAAGGTGTGTTTCTGAAATTCATGAGTCGACCTTGCGATCAGTAAGATAATACAATTGACAATGCGTTAGTGTTGCGAAAGAAAGTTTTTTGTTTTTATTTGCATCCTAATGATCGAAATTTAAGCAATTTCTATTCTAAACATTATTTTAATAAAGTAAATATTAAGATTTATTCCTATAATTTGTTATATTATAATAAAAAGTTTATGCCTTTAATTCATTATAATATATACATAGAATATAGATATAATGTGATATTTATATAATATACGCTAATATACGCAGACTTGAAAAACGCGTTTCTTGTAACGTTATCATCGTTAGTTTCTTATTTTGGTAACGAATTAGTAACGTAATTATATTTTTGGGTAATAGCATCAAATATATATAATTATTATTTATTTTGAATGGAACATGCATAAGCGAGAAAAGAGAAAAAAGTTATGTTTGATCATTGTGATCAATTATGTATTAATCCATTAGCGATATAAACAATTAAATGCGTCCGAAAAACAGGTCATTAAAGTTCTGTAAAAATATAACGGAAATTGTAATGTATATCCTGTACTCTGAATGCGCGAATTTCGAATCACCCTGTATATATCTCCCAGCTACACTAACTAACAGTATTATTGTATATTTATTAGTATAATTTTTTCCTCAATAATATAATTATAATATAACGTGTAATAGTTATGTCGTTGAATGCAAAATTATAACAATTATGTTAGTTTAAGTTGGTGTTTAATGGATTTTTAAGTAATGATAATGCTAACGAGTTATTTTTTTTTAAAGGGTGAAATTATAGTCGATTGTATTTTAAAAGTAATTCACTTTTTAAAAATATTCTTCTATACTTCTTATTAATATTGATTATATTTTAATTTATTTTAATTTACTTTAACTAGAATTTCCGAAGCATACATCATATCAAAAATGATGTGACAGCAGTTTATACTACTTATCAAAAATGTAGTTTATTTTTAGAAATATACATATATGTATTATTATATGAAGCAATAAATGTATCGTGATTAGTAACATGATTTATTACTCCGATAAAATTGTAAAAACATATAGAATAGTGATATATGTAACAAATTGAAGAACTTTTGTAATAGTTGGGCTAACAACATCTTAACGCAACAAATATGTCAGAATAAAAATATCTAAATAATATTTACCTATAAAAATTAACCTATTCCAATATGAGATATAAATATTTTGTAATTATTTTAAGAAATAATTTTTTATACTTAAAATTTGTCATCCCAATCAGCTCACGATATTTAAAAAAGATTTTTTAAAGATTTTTATTTAATATAAAAATATTAAATAAATGTCTAAATAATGTTTTTTTAATATTGTTGATTGGGATGCTAGATATATGTATAATATTTTCGTTGCAATTTCTATATTATAATCTAGAAATAATTGTATAATTTTTCATAAAATACAGCTAAAACATTTTTCTCAATTACCTATTTCTTTTTAAATTTACTTTTGTGAATATACCGCTAAAATAACATATATTTATTGTTTTGCCAAAATACTGTTTCGAAATAAACTATCTAAACTGCAGTTATCAATATTTGATAAAAGTTGTCAATACTTTTACGTCAATGAAGTAATATGATAAAATAATACCCCAAAATTAGACCTCAAGATAAAGGTGATTAAAGTTTTTAAAAATAAAATGATAAGAACAAGGACAAGTAATAGTCGATAATAAATTTTTATACAAATTTAAAATCAAGGTATAAAATATTATTAAGTTAAATTAACATATTTTATAACAAACACCAAAAAGTATAAGAAATTATGTAAAAAAAATTATATATGTATATACATGTTTCGGTCCTTGGTTTAGACCATCCTCAGATGATAAAAAACATTGATCAAAATAATGGACCATAATTGAGGATCTAACATTATATTAAGTCAGTTGAAGATGAATCCTCTCTCCGAATGTTACCAGAGTTGCTCGCAAACGATTATCAGAACGTTTGTTTGTACCGTCTTGGTAGTCATATCAATCAAAAAGAAGAGATCATCATTGTTGTATCAAAAATTGTCATAAATAACAATAAAACAAAAACATTAATATGTACAAAAAGTAAAAAGTATAAAAGAATTTAGAAGATGTACACAGTTTAAGAAACAGACAATGACAGACAATAAAGTGTTTTAACTTACAATTTTATTTAGTTCTATGTAAAAATTAATTCAAGGATCTGTACACGGTATTCTTAACAAGTAGAGTCACATATTTCTACAAAAATAATATCTAAAAGCTATTTTGATTTTATTCTGAATTTTTATAAACCATTTCTTTTATATCTGAAAGACTTCAGAACTGGTGATATAAGAATGAAAACTTTTGAAACTTTTAAGAACGTTTTTGGTTCAGAACTGAGATAAAAAGAAGAAAAAATTTCGGGAATATATAAAAAGAATTAATTTAGAATATCTCTAAGAGGAACAAATTATCAAAATTTCTATTATTATATATTACAAGTCGGTGGTCAACATTTCAAACAATTAATACGCTAACTTACACGATGGTATATATCTTACAATTAGACATCCTTGCAAATGATTAACGGACTGATTCGATAGATAATGAAGAAAAATAGTTTAAAGATATGAAGATTTGTTTGTTTTAGATATAACCAGGGAATAAAAGTAACTCGTTACTTGTAACGAAGTTACAGTTACAAGTTACTTTTTTGGTAACTTTACTGGTAACTGCGTTACTTTCTTTTTTTGGTAACTGTAACGGTAACGTAGTTACTTTTTTTGGATAACGGTAACGAAATTTACAGTTACTTTTATTGTTACTTTGCATACGATTGGATACGTTATTCTGTTATATAACAATTACATGTTATTAATTACGACAGCTATAAATGTGGTTGTAGAGAGAGAACATTGAGTGTTTTTATTAAATACAAGCGTAAAAGCTATTTAGTTTACCTTAATCTAAACATCGTACATATTTTGTTCTAATTGAGCTGTGCGTGTACAAAGCTTTACTCTGTACATTTCTGTGTACAAAGCTTTACTTTGTACATTTTTGTTGAACAATTGGAAAACACCTCTTTTTGCAAAATTTCTGTTATATATTGATTTTAATTATAGCGTTATAACTTTCTTTCTATCAAAATATTTTATTTACAGCTAAAAGTATAGATTAAGTAAAAATATAGCTGTATTATAATAAAGAGATTATGTGTATTTCTTAATTTTTTTTTTAATTTCTAACTTATATTGTGATTCAGATAGTCTTATACAATCCTATATAATTTTCTAGTTTTCTGCAAAGTATAAAAAAGTTCTTGTAAAACACTGACACTATGTCAGTATTTTACATGTAATATATATATATATATTGCTTTTATTTAAACAAAAAACACTGCAAAAGTACATTTTTAGACTGATTTTTAAAAAGTAACAGAAGAGTAACGAAAAGTTACCTTTCGAGTAACGGTAACTGTAACGAGTTACTTTTAAAAAGCGATAACGGTAACTCGTTACTTTTTTTACTCGGTAACGAGTAACTGTAGCTTGTTACTTTTAAAAAGTAACTTTCCATTCCCTGGATATAACACCATGAATTCCAAGAGCAATAAATTTATGGTGGAATCAACAAATAGCGTTTATTAGTTTAAGAAACGCTGCTATTTATTATATTCCTATTATGAGGCGCATGTCTCATAATAGGAAATTTTCCTCTATCAGACATGGTCATCAGTTCATAACATTATTATTCAGCATTCTATTTGCTAAAAGTGAACGTTGATATACATATTAAACCTATTTTTGTAATATCGGTATATATATACATATCAGTTTCTTAATCTTTATGTTAATTAATCTTTATAAAACTTGTTAGTTTTTAGTTGAACTAAGCAAAAAATTGGCTAGCTTTTAAAAGAAGGCACTCCTAGTATCGTGTACTACTTGTCGAAGTGATATAAACTCGATCAGTAACTCACGTGTATTTCATTATTTTTATTCGAACACGCGAATCATGTATTTAAATAAAATGTCCAACGAAAACGTCCAAAAATGGATCAACAAGATGATGCCGAAGATTATCGAGAATCTTGGACCTAACATTCACAAAGCTCAATACGAGTTACTAGAATCTACTGGTAATTTTATTATATCCAGCATTTATTGTGTACGTCTACAATTTGAGAATAAAACAAATAGAAAGAACGAGGAATTGTCTATAATACTGAAAAGACCCGTTTTATCGGCCAGATTTAATCAAATAGCTCGTACTGATCTTCAATTTCGCAACGAGATTCTGTTCTATCAAATGTACAGCCAACCGGGCGAGAATTACGCGAGATGCTTATACTTTGAAGAACGACCGCCCATCGACTCTATAATCGCTTTAGAAAACATCAATGAACGAGGATATTATCCTTGTCCATATAAATACAATCCCCCAGTGGAATACACTTTTGCGGCGATGCGTGAACTGGGACGATTTCATGGTAAAGGATATGTCATGAAGGAAATGCAACGGGAAAAATTCTTTGATATCGTAGCACAAATTCAAGAAGTTAGATTTACAAACGAAACGGAGAATCTTTACAAGATTGGTTGCAACATGAAGACATCACGAGTGGTCGAATATCTTCGCAGCCAGGATCATGATGCAGTTTTCTGTGATAAGATGGAAGTCTTACTTTCGAACGTGTTTGAAGTAATGATAAAAACGGCACAGCCCCAAGAACCTTTAGCCACGTTGTGTCACGGTGATTTTACGTTGAGCAATATTCTCTTCAAGACAGAAGACAATGATGAACAGCTGCCTCTCCCAGTATTAATTGATTTCGCGCTTATTAGATACTCGACGCCCGTTATTGATCTCTCCACATATCTTCATCTATGTTGCTCAAATGAAATGAGGAATGAAAAATTTTTCGAGTTCATGCAGGCCTACCATGACTCGCTTATAAAATATCTATTGGACGCTGGCATACAGGATATTGAAAAATACTCGTACAACGCTTTGTTGGTCGATTTTAAAAGAGGTGCTCTCTTTGGTTTCGCTCTTACGTGTGCCTTTGTACCAATATTACTGGGATATATTAGTCCAGATGTACTAGTGCAAGAAATAATAGATTTGGGTCCTTTGGAAGCTATGAAGAAACAAAGATACGCCGGCGGAGACGAAGTATCTAAATTACTAGCTGATTCCTTGCTGTATATGAGAGATTTTGGCTGTCTGAATCATATTTTATAATCGCGCGAGATAATTCGAATAAATAAAATGTAATATCTATCGATTAATAATATGAATTAATAATGAATAAATTTTAAACTATGATTTATTGAAAAAAGTGTAAAACTTGTTCTACTACTATATAAAGTTGCTAAAAACTAATGTTATTTTGAATTTTTTACGCTAATTTTACTTTATATATTATTTCTGTAAAACTAAATATACTGAAAGTGTTTTCGTAAACATCGAAATATATAAGGTAATCTTTAATAGAGCGTTTCTTTATCATGTTTGTTGATTAAGGATGATATCAAGAAAAGGAACATTAAAATAATTATTTTCTGTATCAATAATGTTATAATTCAAATTAAAATTGAATTAAACACATCAAGTTTCAAAGAATTTCTCTCTAAATTAATGTTTTATTAGTACGATACAATTTTATATCTTCACATTACATTTCAAGAACTATCTATTATTGATGTCCATAATATCTTTAGTATATTAGTTATACATGTTCAGTTGGACACTATAGTCAATCATAGCTCTAGAATAATATAATTAAAAACATTTTATACCTAGATGAAAGTCGTTGTGATTCATAATAGGCACTTGCAAGATAACAGTGTACAAGCGAACCGCTTCTAGTATTTTTCATTTCCGAATATATCATAAATAAAAATAATTGTATTAATCGGTACCATATATATTCCGTATATTCAGTGAGACAGTCTTTAAAATGAGTCATGAGAATACGTCTTAATAACTAACAATACACAACATCAATTTGTATATCTTATCTCATTAAAATAATATCGAAAAACACGTTAGTATATCGGCGCTAAGATGACAAACACAGCGACATATTGTACCGTGTATCTTTCTTTAAAACTAAGTTTATGTAATATGAATGTTATCTTATATATATACCATATAAACTATTTACATTTGGATTCTGTCAAATTTAAATTCATTTTTTTATACTAATACACTTTCATTTTGTAGTTATTTTAATAAATATTTATGTAATAATTTTTAGTAGTTAATAAATAAATTAGTAATAAAAATTTAGTATACCTGTAAAATTTAAAAAAACCTTCTTAAAAAAGGAAAATACATATGCCAATTGCATAAAAAAGGTATTGAATTCTTAATCAAAAACGTACATGAAATAAATGTAATTATCCAATACTAAAATCTTTTTATTATCCAACTCTAGCAAGACATATAAGGTAGACCGAAAGTAGCTAAAATTGTCAACTAGATCATAGCGAAAAAAAAACTTGGCGAGTTAATTTATTTTTTAATTTAATTCATTTTATTATAGTTTGTTTCTTTTTTTACTTAATTTAATTTTTAATTCATTTTTTGAATGTTGACATTGTGAAGAGCAGCTTGATGGACAAAACGCTTTACATGTTTGTGTCACACGTACGACTGAAAAAATCTTGAAACGACCCCTTCTCGGTCTTTAGATCTTGGTACCAGCTGCATTAATGTTATTCGGTGTTTTTAGATTTTTGAATTATGGTTTTCATTTCTAAGTAATATTTTAATTTAAAGTTTGTCGATGTCAAAACTCCAGCTAAATTTAACGGTAGCGTCGCAAATTAGCAGCGACATATGAACATATACACGATGACGTTCACGCGTCAAACGAATCGCTTGAAGCGATCAAGCGGTTATATTTTTATTTTATGCACTTGGCGTCGCGACGCTACCGCGTCGCTTGATAACTTTAATATAAAATTTCTGAAAATTTTATTATAATAAAGTATTTTATACAGACAGGATTAATTCTCTTTTTGGAGAATTATCTCTTTAAGAAGATAAATTTTCTTTTTTAATAGATTAATATACCAAAAACATATGTAAAAATATAATTCAATTATTTCAAAAAATTAGGTACGTAGAATTTATAATTATGTAATCTTAAATCTTGTTAATATATGGTATTATCTGATTCTTTTTTATTATATGTGCTTGGTTATGTGTAAGAGATAAAGTAAACAATTAGGCTTGGAAGTAATTAATTTATTACCATTAAAAGATTATACAAGTGCGCACACATACAAATACCGTACAAGTATCTCGAAAATCCAATGTGCTGATTCAATCTGCACATCGCAGTATCGTCTGCTAAAGCCAGCATGTGTTTTACAGAAATTGAGCATTTTTAACATTACACTTATAACGATATAAAATCAAGGCAATTCGTATACTCTAATTCCGACGCAACTAAACACGGTTGTGTAAAGCTAAAAGACACTATTATATTGAAGCACAAAATATTGTGTGCAATAATATTTCGATTGCGTAGCAAACATCTTGTATATAATACAAAGATCGCAATTGCATCATTCTCATAATGGATTTAGTTATGCAAAAAAAGAACTCTTTCAAACTAGAAAAATTTTATGTTAACATTAAACAAACTATAATGTGATTCTCTTTTATACATTTTTTAGAATATTGAGAGCAATAATTCAATGTCTCATTTCCGTAACGGTATAATAAAAATCTGATTATATTCCGCTTAAACGCTTTTGTTCTTTTTCGCATAATTGCATACAAGTATTAAATATTCCTCATTAACATTCTAATCAACATCGCCAATCTCCCCTCCTTCTTTTGACAATGATTATGATTCCATATGAAGAATGAATTGTTATAGCAGCACGGTATTTGTATTTTAATAATTACATTACTACGCATGTTAATTATGACCCATACGTGATCATAATTTATACAATCTCAAGGATTTTTAAATATTTGTTTAAACTCTTTATATAGTTTACATTCAGTGTAGCAACGAGTCTTTTCCTCTTGCTGTTAAATAGTTTGGCTTATTGTTTTTAATAGTAAAACTTTATAGAGAATTTCAAAATAATTTCTATATTCTTTTTAATTATTTTTTTTAGGTAATTCATCAATATGTAAATAGTAACGAGTATACCAATATATGTGTATGCTACTATTTAAAAACCCCCGAGATATCGTATCTTAGAAGAATCATAAAGGTATGTAACTCCCGATGTGGAATGAATATAAAAATCATCCTTAGTATACTTAATCTTTAACTTAATTCACCTATGCATAGCGAGTCAATTGCATAATTATGAAAAGCTTAAATGTTTTAAAAGCCTTTTCTGAAACGATTTCCTTTTATTCCACAAAAGGAGACACAGAAATTGCACGAAAAAAAACACCTTTCAAGAAATTTCAATTAATTAGTGAAATTAGTGGCGCAATACAAAATCATAGTATGTACAGTCCGAATCATCTATTCGTAAAATTTTAGTATCAGACGTTTAAGGTTTCCACAATTTTGCGCAGCTCACGAATGCAGATTATGTTGAAACGTAAGTTTCAACAGATTATGGCACCGTATCTATAATTTACGTATCTTTATATGTACATAAAGTATATACAAAAGAAAGAAAAACATAAAATAAAAATGAAACTTCGCGCCACTCGTCTCGAATGCAAAGATTTTCAACAGATCACAAATGTGAAGCAAAATATATCAATGTACCTATAAGTAAGTATAGAAAGATATATGTATGCCTTTTAAAAAGTTATACTATTTATTAGAAATAATTTGTGTGTTGCTCGAAAACTATTATAATAATAACGATTTTTCAACTACATTTTTTTCTCAGTGTATTTTCTATAATTTTACTTTAAAAGTTTAAAAAATCCTTAACCGCAAACTATACAAATCCGATGTGCAAAATTTTATTCGGATCGACGCATTGGGAAAGCATCTCACCGGCTTTATGTACACTGCAAACTGTAGATTACGAGTTCCAGACAGTGTTCCAAATTCTAACGGCTTGGAAACATATCGATAAGTGTGTATACCGTTTTTTTCTAACCACGACTTAAAATAATTTACGCAGCGAACAAGTATACACAACTTGTGCAACTTAAAAATTAAACTCTTATTATCATTATGTAGAAATAAATAATCGTAGAGCGCTAAATATATATATATGTATATATATATATACACACTAATGTCGATCGTCGCCACAGTATATCAGATACAATTCGATAACATTAACAATTCGCTCGCAAAAGCGGAAATCTGAACGTGGAGAGAAAAAGGATATTTTAGCGAAACTAACGCAATAGCTTTTACAGCAGATATACACAAATTCCAAGACGTATAGTTTATACAATCTTATTCAGCCGCTATGTCCAAAATGCATTCATTTTTTCGATGTAGCAGTATTTACAATAATTCAGAGGTATTTCGGTACTTTAATTACAAACCACTAGTTATGACTTATGTTACAATAAATCGCATATGTTATAAAATAACATCCAACAATAGTACATACAGGAACTATTTCGCGATTTTATCTCATTTCTTTCCATATAATTTACAAATAGTTTTTAAAAATGTCCACATGTCTAACAGTACTTTTATATTCTCGAGAGGTCGATATATTATTTAAGCTTATTCAGAGAATAAGACCTGCAATATATAATAACTTTAAAATAAATGACTATACAGGGTGGCCGAAATTAACCGCTAAATATTTCATGCGTGGGTAGAACAGACTATACTGAGTCGAAAAGTCCTGTACCATTTTGCGATTGCAGCAATAGTTAACGAGATATTAATTTTTAAAGATTGCCGAATATACGCGCGTCCATCCGGCCGCGCGTATTCGAAATATTTGACGGTTAATTTCGGTCACCCTGTATATCTATAGAATCTATGTCCATAACAAAACGCCAAACTTTATTTTATGAATTATTTCTAAAAAATTATTTTAGATATTTTTCGTACCGTTAACAGTTCTTGTATTGATATGAAATTTATATTTCCGTACTGAATTCTTTTTGTGAGCATGAAGTAAATTAGAAATCTGTATCAAATTTAAATTAATTTTAATTCTTTAAAAACAAAAATGGATTTACACATTGTATAAAATAAAGAATTATTCTTAACAACACGGTGCTTCATCAAAACACAATTGTTTGAGAAAATGCAATCTAGAATGTGAAGCAAGTAAAAATGAACTAAACTACTTGTTAAACATATTTTTTACGATATTTTTGTTTTATGTTCATCTTCCTCATGTCTTGCGTAATATATGCACACAAGTATATAAATATCTAAACCTATTACTAAAAACACAATATGCTCCAATATAATGATAAAAAAATTGTTTACATTAATAATGATGTATAATCACATCCATCCTTGATTTTTTCGAACGATGCTGTTTTTTTTCGAACGTCGTAATTTTTCATACAGTCCTGTGCGCGACGAACTGCCACGCCTCACAAACCTCCGCTAAGTCATGCTAAGTGCATTATATCCTTCAGCTACATATTTGTTAAGATTTTTATTTGATCGATATATCGAATCGGGAAACGTCTTTTCCATCGCTTTTCATTACTTTTCCTCGAATTACGAGTTTTTCGATGACATTTCGTCTGATAAAATGATCGAAAAATTTAAGAATTTGTGTTTAAGTAGTTGAAAGTAAACATTTATTCGTATCGATTTCCAATTCTCTCAAGGATGGAGTTATCCGTTCTTCTTGCTATTCATGGAATTCGTAACATTTTGCGATAGCATGTCATCTCGAAGGCTTCTATTCATTTGGCAGGCAACATCCACCATCAAAACTCGAATCCGCACAAATGACAATGAAAAAAAACCAAAGCCTGGACTAGTCGTTTTTTCATTTCCTTACTAATATTATACCATAATGCTATGCCAAAAATGATGCGAGTACCTCGAAATATCTTATCTCGTAGTATTCAATTCTCTATTTGGAAACTGATAATTTATTTATGCGAAGTTCTATATATCCGATGACAATTTATTGTCTCGTATTGCGCATCCTAAATACATTATCGAAACGTATCTTTATCACTCATATAACTGATCGCGTGGACAGCGTATTTTAACGCAGTAAGTTATACGATAAAATAACAAATTGATACGGATCAGTTTAATGCTAGAAAATCTTTTGCGATTCATCATCGGCGTTTCCTGAAATTCTGTTCTCAATCTCAGGAAATCAAAAATCGCGAAAATGTCCATGAGATCAATTACAAAGTGCAGACGACGTGGTATTTGTTCGCAATGCCAACTAACGTGATGACAATCAATAACACACGGGCGGCGACGATGACGATAACAATGATGATGATAATGATGATACCGGCGGAGAATCAGACCTGCCCGCCTACATCAGCTTGATACCGCAACGTCAGATATTCAGCTGCCTCTGTCATACGGGCGATACTGCTGTGAAGACCGCGCAGATGACGCTTAAAGTTTTCGGCGGCGATGCTTGCCAGATCGACTACGCATTCTTCACCTTCTAGACCGCTATCAATCTCAATGCCGTTCTCAGAGTCTGAATCGGAGGTCCAAGCGATCGAAGACGCGCTTTGTACGCTCTGCATAGACGTGGTGCTGGGACAACGCACGTGGCCAAGTCTGCCACTGGTTATAGCCTGATGGTGCGTCAGTTCAGCAGACGGGCTACCAATCGGATGACTCTTAATCGGCGTCTGATCGTCCGCCATAGTGCCTCGCGTAGGCTCCTGCGACCACAGTAACTCGATCTTCATTTGATTGATGATGTTGTAGAGACGGTACAGGTCAGTGTTGGCCAGAGTGTCCTTCACCGTGCATCCACGTTTACCCTTCATGCAGATTGTGTCGCCCGCGTCACCCACAGACAGATCCAGCAAGCGGCTAGGCACCAGGATAGTGTCCTCCATCTCGCTCACGGTGCGCACGAACTTCTCCATGCTGTTCAAGATGCTGGCATTGCTGAATTCCGGCTCGTCGTGCCGGGCGATTCTCCGCAGACTCCTGCAACGAAAATTATTCACTGTTCTTTTAACATGTTACACGTTTCGAGATATGTATAGTCTTACGTTTTAAAGATGAAAAGCTACACTTTGTTCGACAGCAAATATGCAATGGCGAAAGTAAAATATCAATAAAAAAAAGATACAAAAATTAACGATTTAAGATCGTATAATGTAAATACACGACAAGTAAAAGATAATGTTTATAACGGTCGAAGCTAGATCTTTGGTGTTTAAATATTTTCATGTGAATTTGTATACTACATATGTAGTCATTTAAAAATGTTTAAGCATCCATGGTACAAAAAAAGATACACTTGACTATGATTTATACTACGCAATGTTTCTCTCATCTCACAACAAGCGGAAATGATTGAAATTCAGTTTAATACTTTTGCTGTCATCATAAATCCTTCTTTAAATATCAAACAGGACGATACATTAATGTTCAGACCATAAGTGAAACAAACAGCTAATAAAAATTCAGTATGCTTCACTGATGATGCAGAAAAATATTTATAGAAACATACGTTATTTGTATAGTAATCAATTTTATTAAGATTTTGCAACATAAAATCGCGGTATTTTTACAATATTTATAGAATTAACATTGAGACTGACATTAATTAAAATTATCTGAATATATTATACAGAATTTTCTGCGTAGGTGACTAGACTGATCTTTGCTCGGCGGCTGGAGATATTCATTAGTCAAAACATCATAAAAGATTACTCGGACGAACATCAGCGTTTTGCTGCGGAAAAGAAGATTTCTCAAGCGGCTAATTTGTATGCGTGCGTTTGACAATGATGGCGTAATAAACAAATATAATACAACGTCACCAAGTAAATAGTGACGCATGATCGTAACACTCTTTAAGAGAAATATCCGATGCCTTCGTCTTCAATGAGGTTGTGATTCAATTTTGTATCTTTGGAAAATACCATCGCTAATAATTATAACAATTTATATATCTAAACACGATTGAGAAAATATTAAGAATAAGTAGCTGTTATTTTTTATAATAAATGGATAAAATAAAATAAAATTAAATACGACTGTCTTTTGATTGATACATAAAAGAAATATATGTTTTGTATGTCTTTTAAAGCTACTAGTGTTTACAAATCATCTGTCAGCTATATCTAGTCGTATTTAATATTATAATTTCAACATTAAACAATAGCTATCTTATTTTTGAAATGCAAATCTAAAAAGTTTAACATTTGCCACAAAAAAATAATTCTAAATAATAGAAAAACTTATTTTTAAGTTGATTTTTATATACTAAATATACATAATAGCGTTTATTTTTTAGATTACGTTTCAAAATATTACTTTGAATAAAAGAATTAACTTATGTATATTCATAATCGGTTCTTATTTTAAAATCTGTCAAAAATGTTAATGCAGTTTCGATTTTTTTTTCTCTTTAATAATATGAACGTTTAATAATATGAACTCTGTTAATAATACGAATGAGACTCGAAATAAAAAAACTATGAATACCGATCATTAGTTAACTCTTATTTAGAGCGAGCTTTTTGAACGCAGCTTTGATATACAAATTAATATTGATGTTTAATAAGTAAAACTAATGTAAGCGCGAATAAATAAAACATTTTCTTTCGTGCAATAACATAGAGGAAAGTACATAAACAATCGAAATAGATGAAGGATTGCGAAATACCACGATATCCTGTATAGTTTGCACTGCATTTTGGAAGTATAGTCATCTTATTTCTTTACAGCCTGCTTAGATAACAAGACCACCGATCAATAGTGCTTTAAAAGCTGCATTTCAGTTTTACATGTAGCAGACAATTTTATGTAGATGTAGGGTAATTTCGGTATTTATGCCGCAGAAGTAAAAAAAAAATAGAAAGAGTGGGGATAATTTGCATGTAATCACTCTGTTATATATGGTTTTATGTTTTACTAATATTGTGTGTTATGATTTCAGTTTTTTTTTACTATTATATTAATATTAATACATTTCTCAACAAAATTAAAAAGATCTTATTCTTTACAGTCCTTTAAAGGATTTGTTCCACTCTGCAAAAATAGGCAAATTTTGAGATAGAATAATTTCGCCATAAATCATCGTATTGAGATTTTTAAAAAAGCATTTGAAATCTCTATTTTTTAGACTTGTACTTTAAAAAACTGTATTACTGATATTTCATAAAGTTACACAAACATAAATGAAGATGTATGAGATCTCAAAATATTTTACGAAATTTGATAAATTTGACGATGCGAACTAAAAATTGTGCACAAATGCGGTTTACAGCTTTCGAAAGACTGAAATTTTTACCTTTAATATTTGCTTTTTTATCGACCTTTGTGAAAATTTTTTCCACCGAGTTATTTAACGTTGAAGTAAAAATGACCCTTTTTTCTTCAACGTTGAATAACTGATTTTTGACGAAGTTATTCTATCTCGAAATTTGCCTACTTTTACAAGATGGAACAAGTGATCCTTTGATTTTATTGAGACCTGTATAACCACCGTCAGTAAATAAAAAAATGTTTTACTTTAAATATTATTACTCTTATTTACTTTTTTCCATTAATTATAATAATTATGTAAATTCAAGCTTATTTGCCTTCGTGCATTTATTTATGTATAATAAAATTGATTATTGAAACAGACGATTTGTCAATGTAGTAAATAGCGTAATCATATATCATAACTTACATAAAATAATTATTTAGGGAATGTGAAAGGGTTAATGGTTATTTAATAACACATAGATGTAGAGGAATAATAAAGAATGGAGTATAGCAAAACACAAGTTTCTAAAACTCTTGTATTCTTTATTCAGTTTGATATTATGTTGTATATTCCACTTATTTAGGACATATGGCATTTTTAGCGAGTGGAATTTATGCTTAAAGCAAACAAAGTGCGCAAATTGGATTCAGTCATTAATGCAATAAATGCATTATATAGAATATTAATGACTCCTCATATCGTATAATACTTGTAATATATATGCAAAAAATTAGAATTATAATCTATTACTTCGTAATATATATTTATCATTCTTATTTCTTGATAGAACTTTATGAACATATTTTCTAAATTGTTGTTATTTTAAGTCTTATTTCTGAGCTTCATTTGTATTTATAAGCTCTCTATATGCGATAAAATGCGACAGAAAAATTTTTTTATGAAAACCAAAATATTTCAGATTTCTAATATTCTTTTTTTCATAATAGTAGATAGTAGAGAGTATAAAGTTTTTATTAGTACAGTTTATTTTCCTTAAATACATAATAACTGATAAATTGATAAGTTTCTGTTAGATACGGCGTGACGTATAAACCAGAGTTTCCCTATACCATACTTTTTACGTAATTTTGAAAAGTATGTTGATATTCATTTTGTAACTTTAATTTAGCTTGGAAGCCTTGAATGTGGCTTTCTAATGATGTAATTAAACTACATTTTGTATTGAAAGGTGTGTTTACTCGATATCAAGTTATATTATATAGTAATTAGTGATATTTACATGTCCTCCCTCCATAACCGTATTTTTCTCCTTCAGTATTTTGTAAATTACCTAAAGAACTTTCATCTATGGCATAATTGGTAACACTCTTTGACTAATAAACTTGTATCAAAAAAGTTATATCACATATCTAAGTTATAAAACAAAATAGTATTCTATAACTCCCTTTCTTCCTCCACAAGCTTCCCAAAACACATTACATGGTAATGCAAATGTTATATTAATGCGAATCTTCTTGACTTATTATATCCCGAATGGATAGAATTGAATGTTGATTCAGTGAAGTTACAACAAATTACGGCAAATTATTATGTTATTGCAGTGTAATTTTGTAAACATAATTTAAAATAGTCTATAATTATTTAATTTTTCATGTTTTATGCGTCTGCTTCAGTAATCAATTTTATTATACATAAAGAAATGCACGAAGACAAATAAGCTTGAATTTACATAGCTATTATAATTATTGGAAAAAAGTAAATAAGAGTAATAATGTTTAAAGTCAAACATTTTTTTATTTCTTCACATCAATCAATTCTGTTGATTGTGATAAATAAGAACTTTGTTTATCTTTATGTAATATATATATAATAGAAAAGAATATTTTTATATTCTTACAACATTGGCATTTTATCAACTATTTAAATGCTATGTATCAGTATAAAATATATAGAACAATAAAAATTAAAAATATCTTGATTTATCTTCATAAAAAATATTCAAAAAAGAATTTATTTACCAAAATAGATATTTTTCTAAAAAAAAAAAATTACTTCCTCTTTATCTAAAAGTATAAATATAACGAATATGAAATATTCGTTTTAAATACACGCAAAATCTTCATTTTTTACTTTCAGAAGAAATATCAATTTTGTCAATGCTAAATCTTTCTCGATTGTATCAAATAAACAATGCAACAACCTTGCAACTAGATTTATTGACATCGTAAACAACAATGATATTGTATTATAGATCTTTGTTTCGCAAAAAAGCAAAGACAAAAAGTGAAACAATTAAGCTTCATAAATTGAATTAAAAAGCTTCCTGTCATTAATTAAGCGACCTTCATTAATTGAGTAATTGCAGCGAAACTTATCTCGCCAACGATGAACTTGTTTACGGCGATTTCGCATTAACCAGCGATCGCTGAAATTTGCAATAAAGTTTCCAACTGTTCGTTCACATATGAATATTCAATCGTTCCCTCAGCCGAATTCATGAAATCGCTTTGTTATGTTAATCGCCGATACTTGCATAGCGAATACGTGAACGAAATGGAAATTTACTGTAAATGCACTGACTGGGCGAGTTGTAAAAAGTGCGCATTGTGCAAAGGTGCAAAGGTGTATTATACCGACGATTCGCTACTTTGTCTTCGCTTTCAATGGAAAAACGGAGGAAATTTAAAACGTAATTTTATCATGATTAAGTTGCAAGTGCAATTTGCTTCGCAAACATCACAAGTTCGAATTGCAAATTGCT